GCAACAATGTCTTTCCCAAAGATTACAGTTGCCTGTTCTTAAACCAGTCCTAGCAGATGTTTGTCCTCAAAATTTTCTGCATTGGAAATTTCATATCTTCCAGAGGAAATGTGCTCCAGTTTTTAGTTACCCTTGCAGCATGCTACCTAAATCAAGTGTCTGACGTTAGAACATGTTGAAGAGCACTCGTATCCCTTAGTAATTTGGATGTGTGCAGATGTCTAATCTATTATTCATTATGTTGTGGCACCTGAGGAGACACCAGGTATTGCAAAAGGGAAAAAGGCCTTTAGTTCCTATGATGTTAAGTATTTTATTTTATGAAAAGAAAGTAAAGAAAAATGCAAAGGTATGGGCAAGAGTTGAGCTGTAAAAAAACCCCCAAACAATCAAAATTGGGCTACAAAGAGTACAATTACTGGCTTTTCCAGTGGAATTAGGACAGTCTAGTGTACCTGTATGAAAGAAGTGGATTATCAAGATGACAATGCATTTGATCTTACTGTGGCATGTAGTAGAGCAGGACTTTAAAGAATTAACTTTGCTAGGTCATTCTTTTCTAAGTGAAAAAATCAGTTAAGGGAGATACTTAGCTATTTATTTTTGACTTATTTTTCCACATGATGATAAATTCTGAAAAATGACTGCTGTCTTTAGCAATCAAAAGAGTTGGAAATTTTCTGAGCCTCCTGGCAGATGATGCTAGTTAAATTTACATTAAAAATTATACTTTAATTTTATAATAGATGCATTATTTACAGCTGTGAAATATCTTCTGGCAAAGAATAAAACTCAAGCCATTTGAAAATCCTGACAGACGCGGTACAGACTGTTCTCTCTTGCTGTAAGCTTGGATCAAAAGAATTCTAAATTTTCCCAGCACGAAAAAGATATTCTATGCTATGTCCACTAGCATGGTATGAGAACAAGAGTTTTACTAAGTTGAGTATAATTAAACAGACAGGCACAGGGGGTTTAACCCATGATGTAAATTCATGTTTATTGCTGAAGTTGCTGCTGCCTGGTCAGTAAGTGAAAGACTTCTTGGAGTGGCCAGAGTGAAGTGTTGCTCCAAAACCACATGCAGTCTCTCTGGGGTTTGAGGAATGTTGGTTTCCTGGAGTACTGACATAGTATGGACTGACTTTAGGTTCAGAGTATAAACTTACAAACCTCAGACTCCAAACAATCTCAGCTTTGGTTGGCATGTATAAAAGTTAGAATAAGGGGCCTACATCCATCAGAGTCTAATTTCTGAACTCTCCCCTATTTTAACAACAGCATCTTTTATTCCTTACATTTGAAATACAAACCATTTTTGTCAGGAAATGGGGTTTATGTGATTAGTCTCCTAGTCTGTCTCTTAGTTCTACAATGATTTTGTTGCACGTCAGGTTCAGCCCAGCTTAAAAGGAGTGTCCATCACCAGCAGTTTGAATGTGGCACTTTCTTTATAAGGGATAGGAGATTTCCACTGTATGGAAGCAAACTGTACTGTGCCAGTTGGCCTGGCCAGAGCTTGAGGATCGTGCCTAACTTTTTTAATTTGTGAATATAAAAATAATCTCTGTGTCCTAAGATAGGGCAGGCAGTACAGCTAAGATTTGTTGTGAACAAGAATAGTTGCAAAGTTCTCTGTTTATGATTTTAGGAGCCCTGCTGGTGTAACTTGTTAAGGGGATGCATCAGTCCTCATATTTGGATTGTCTGACCATAACTCTCCAAATAGTGGGGTGTATATACTGTCCCAGCAGCTCCTTCCCCGCCAAGGAAGTTGTGGCTGTTTTACACCTAGAAATTTTGTTACTTCAGCAAACCAATCATTAATTGGGGTGAACTATACAGTGTAATTTTGAGCCTAATTGTAGCCATTATTAAATTTAGTCTTAGCTCAATGAGAAATGTGTTTCTTATTGTGCTTTAGGCTGGAAAAATCCTCAGTGGAAACTGAAGTATTTTTCCACAGCACAGGAGTAATTTTAAAAGTTTCCTTACATCTGTCACCCTGGAGGCTCACTTCTGAAGTCTGTGCCTCTGTGGTGTCATCTTGTTAAAAAGTTTAGATGGTGGCCACCAAGATAATTAGGAGGCTAAGAACTTTTGACTTAAAAGAAGAAGCGGAGAAAGCTAGTTTTGTTTAGTCTTCAGACTATTTAGTCTGTACTTGTTGGGGGGTATAGAGGAAACAGCTGGAATGTTAAGAGGTGCACAATTGTAGGACAAGAGGCAACGGCACAAGTTGCAACAAGGGAAATTCAAATTAGGTATTGGGAAGAAAATTTTCTCTGTGAGGACAGGCAAATATAGGAACAGGAGTGCAGGAAGGCTGAAAAATCTCCGTCCTTGAAGATATTGAGAACTCAGCTGGACCAAGGTTGTGGGCTGTGTGGTCCAAGTTGTCTCTGCTTTGGACAGTCCTTTGGACCAGGTGACCTTTAGAAATCTGTTCCAACCTGTTGTTCTGTGACACAACATAGAGTGTGGACTGATTTTCAAGTGCCATTCCCTATGAAACAGCATTCAGGAAAGCATGTTTCTAATGTATAATAGGAGCCCAAAAGTGCTAATACCAGTTCAGTGCAGCAAAACTAAATATAATTGTCATGAAATTTTTATCTGTTGGCTTTTCAGTAGGTGGCACTTTTCTAGGTGCCTGAATTGAGGGCTGTGCAGAAAGGCTTCTCCAAACAGTATTTAGGGATTATTCTTCCATTACTTAACATCTGTCCTGGTTTTGGCTGGGATACAATTAATTTTCATCCTCTTAGATGGTACAGTTTGGGATTTTGGATGAGAATAATGTTGGTAATGCACTGATGGTTTAGGTATTGCTGACCAGTGCTTACACTATGCCAAGGACTTTTCAGTTTCTCATGCCCTGCCAGTGAGAAGGCTGGAGGGGCACAAGAAGTTGTGAGGAGACATGGCCAGGGCTGCTGATCCCAACTGACCAAACGTATATTCTATACCATATATTGTCATGCCCAGAATATAAACTGGGGGGAAAACTGGTCATGGGCTGCTGCTCATATACTGACTGAGCATCAGTCTGCGGGTGGTAAGCAATTGCATTGTGCATCACTTGTTTTGTATTTTGAAATTATTTTCTTCTTATTATTATTACCATTATTTATTACATTATTATTATTATTATATAATTATTTATTACTGTAATGATTATTATTTTCTTTCTTTTCTGTCCCATTAAACTGTCTTTATTTTAGCCATGAATTTTATCATTTTCACTATTCTGATTCTTCCCCCCATCCTGCTTGGGGGAGGGGTAGGGAGTTGGTTGTGAGTGAGTGACTTTGTGGTGGTTGGTTGGTGGCTGGAGTCAAACCGTGACAACATCTTGTATAGTAAATACTTCAAAAAAACCCTGTGTGATTTTTGAAGTTAGTGCCTAGTTTTAATCTTAAGCTTTTTGTAATTCAGCTCCCCAGTTGTCAGATGGGGAGACCATCATTGCTTTTCAGGGGCAATGTAGTGATGACTATCATAAATAATTCTTCCTTCAGAGCATGCATGGTTTATGTCCTGATACCTGTGTATTAAAATAGAAACAGAGAAGAAAGTAAAGTCTCAGTCCATCCTATGTTTTTTTTTGGAAAAAAACACAGGTGAACATGATTTAAATAGAACAGGCAGTGCATGAAGAGACCTGCCTTAATTATAGCATTTCCTAACTTTCTGATTTTTTACTGTAATGCTTTCACTGTATTCTTTAAATAGTTTTTTGTTCATAACTGCAAATAACAGTTAAAATTTGGAGCCATTTTTACATCTCGTACATCTTTTTGCTATTTATGAAAGAACACAGCTGAAAGAGTCCCTATTGTAGCAGATGCTGCTGCTGCACAGTGACTGTCTCAGACTCTGAGCTCAGTTCTGTTGTTGTCACCATCGGTGGGAGTTTTAGCTTTGCCCATCGTGCGAGTGTCTCTTTTATTAATGTCCAGGTGATGTAGTACAGCCTAGCAAAGAACTTGTGTGTACGTCTTGTGCTCTATACTGAGTGCACAAGGACTTTGCAGAAACCAATAATCTTGGAATCTGCAAGAGGTGTTGGAAAAATAATGAAAACAATAGACACTGGAAGTCCTTAAAATCTGTACTGTTCAGAATGGTATCTGCTTAAATTCACTTGTATTTTGAGAGCCCTTAAAAGTCTTTTTTATCCTATAAGTATGTCTATGCTGTCATGTCTGGGCAGCTAAATGTTTTAAATAGGATGTGCATTAGCAAATTAGAAGCAGCAAACTAAATGCTAAATACTAAACACTAAACAAAGCCAGGAGCAGGGGGAATAAAGCCAATAACTTCAGCCATCAACACGTCTGATTTTTAATAAAACTGCTGATACTAAAAGGCTGTTTGAAACAAGAACAGTGAAGTTGCATTAGGAAGTACTCTAATGTTCAAACACTCTGGATTGAAGGTTGCTTGTCCAACCTTAATGCATATCTATTGTCTATATGCATTATAATAATCTTTAAATGGGAGAAATCCCTGTAAAACGGGAAAATGGTCTTTGACTTCAGTGCAGTGGAAAATTAGATCTGCTTAAAACCATTCACTTGTCCTGCCCTTAAAAGCCTGTGGAAATAATGAGAAAAGTATATTTGGTGTTGAGGGCACAATAAATGACAGGAGATGTTATTCTGGAAGTAATGCTTTTCTCTTCAGAGATAATTGGAGATATTTAAGAGCTTTAGAGTCTAAAAGTCTGACAGTGGTTTTGTAGGCAACTGATTTTAATGAACTTTTGAAAGTTGTTACAATTTGCTGACTTACAATATCTCATTTGCTTTTTTCTTTTAAAAACTCTTTACAAACGTGCATCAGCTGTAAATAAATTAGGTGGGAAATCCTGATTCTATGTAAAATTGTTAATTTGTGAAAGAGAATACTCCACTGCTAAATTCTCCGTCTCTCAAATATCTCTAAAATACAAATCAGGGATCAGAATCTAATTTGTTCTATCTTTTGCCTTTCAGGTCCAAACCATGAATTACGTTGGACAGTTAGCAGGGCAAGTATTTGTAACTGTGAAGGAGCTCTATAAGGGACTGAACCCAGCCACATTGTCGGGATGTATAGATATAATTGTTGTACGTCAGCCAGATGGAAATCTTCAGTGTTCCCCTTTCCATGTTCGTTTTGGGAAAATGGGAGTTCTACGTTCTAGGGAGAAAGTGGTAAGAAAATTGGGAATTTTTGTATGTTTTGTTTGTGAGTTAACTCTAATAGCATGAAGGTTACTGAATGTGCTGTGGTCTGCTAATCAAGGTTGTCTTTAAACACGCCTGAATTAAGGTAGGGTTCAATTAAAATGGTTGTTACTAATTCTCGCATTTCAGAGCATAATTTATGAGATATTGGCTATAACAATAAACAAACCAAGCCATGAAATCTGTAATGTTTATTTTCAAAAAGCAAAATTTTGAATGTGCTAATTTGAGCCTATACTAGATTCTATTAGTGACTATGTATTAAAACCCACTTCTTTGACACGTTCAATGATAATTACAAAAAAGGAGGTATTAGTAAAGTAATATTTTCAGATAATAGAATGTTGAAGTTAATTGAAGCTAGAAAAAGCGGTGAGGACCTTGAAATAAATGTAACCAGGCTGAATGACATGGCAATATGATATCAGATATGAAGTTACCATTGAGTAATGCGTGGCAGATTATTTTAGGAAATAATTTGTAACTACATGCAGTCTAGGTTCTAATGTAGCCATAATTGTTCTGCAGAAAGATCCTAAAGTCAACATGGATATTGTTCAATTCTTACATGGATCAGAAAGAAATTCCAATATTTAGGATGGGTAAAAGTTGAAAATATAACTGTGCCAATACTGTGTCCTGAAATACGACATAAGTGTAGACTTGTCCAAATTTCCAAAAAATTTACAATGAAAATGGAGTTGGTGGCAAAAACGTTTATAGGCAAGGAGAGAGATCCTCCTGAGAAGAAATGGAGATAATTAAGGCTGTACAGTGATGTGATAAATGTGTGGAAGAAATAGACACATGAATTGAACGTAAAATGATTTTTCTTATTTTTGCTTCTCATAGTGTGAAGAGAAGTCTGTTTAATGAATTTAAAAGACAGCTTGTTAAGAATTTGCATTTGGAAGTACTTCTTGCACAATTCAAAATTAGGCGATGAATTAAAAGACCAAACAGATTTGTGTGGCAAGTGAAGCATTCAGAATTATATTTAAAAATATTCAGAATTTTATATAATGGCTGTAAACCTTTCTGAATAAAGGAACAAAACAGCAATGAGCTGAACGAGTTAGGAAAACATTTCTGTAATTGATTGCCTTGTGAGGGGGTAAGGAAAAAAACAGAGAGGTTCACTGTTTTATGTTTATTGTAAGGTTTCCTGCACTTCCCTGAGAAGAGTTTGCTCAGTGACAACAGAAGGACAACTGAACAGGAACTGTGTACCTAAAATAACTTTCTTTTCATACGAGAATATACTTGTTTTCTTCCAGGTTGACATAGAAATTAATGGAGAGGCTGTAGATTTGCACATGAAACTAGGAGACAATGGGGAGGCCTTTTTTGTGCAGGAGACAGATAATGATCAGGTAAGAGTCAAAAGTACTTTTAATTCATTAAAAATTCAATGCCTGCTCTTCAGAGTCAGTTTTGATTTTAGGAATTTTGTTGAAAAAATATACTTTTACCCATTTCATAATTTTGAAAGTTTCTGGACAATTTTCAGCTATGGAGATTAAATGCTATGCTCTTACTTTGGGATTTCTTTGAGTTGCTGAGATTTGAAAAAATCTAAAGTTAACACGTAACTGAAAAATAAATTGTGCATGCCAGTGTGTGAACAGAAATGGCATTTACAGAGTTCACATGCTCCAAAGTTGTGTGCAACAGAGGTTAATGTCCAAGGATCTGATTTTTTGTGGAAATCTTTAATTTGAACACATGCACTCAGACAGACTGCCAGTAAAAGTGCACATGCTCTGTAAACATCTGTTCAGAGATTAATTCTGGTACTCACTGTAAACATGATCTCACAACTATTATTCATGTGGAATTATATTTCAGTGAGAATGTCTGCTTTTAAGCTGTGGTTAAATACTAATCTATATAAGTTATAGTCACATTAATTTTGAGTAGTCCACACCTAATGTAACATAAGAAAATTTTGCAGGCATTTCTCCTCAGATATCCCCAAAAATATCCTGCTCTGGACACGGACAAATGAGTTTTCAAATTCTTATATTGAGTATGATATTACTAGTTTCAGGTGAGAGCTGTGTGCATGTGCAGTATTCATTTCTATATCTTTATTTTAAAACTTTTATGTGGCAACAGCTATTTGGTGACTGAAAATAGCTGGAAATACTTCCATGAGTATTTAGAGATGTGTATATATATGATTGAATAGTTATAAAACACTGACCTGTCTGACTACTGTGTGTCATCTGAGTTGTAAAGGGGAATTGGATTTTACAAAATGCTCAGGTTGTAAACTAGGATTTTATTTCTGCTCTGTGTCTAGCATGAGGTGGATAGAGACTCATGCCACAACCTGGCCAATATTAGATGCTCAGAAGATGCTCTTTATTAAGAGTATTGTTCCTGGCTTGTGTAAGGAGATGCAGCTGTGGAACAATTTCCATATGCCATAGAAGCATGCTGAGCTGAGGAATAAATGACTTATATTTTGGTAGTTGTGCATAGGTTTTAGAACCAGTTGTATGACTGGTGGAAGAACTAATATGTTTCATGGTTTGAATTTTTTCTTTTCCAGGAGGTAATTCCTTATCATCTCTCCACATCTCCCATTCTGTCTGAGGGAACTACTTTAATGGAATCTCAGCTGAAGAGGAATTCCATAGACAGGATAAGAAACCTGGACACCAGTGCATCCTCACAATTACCAACCCAAGCCCATGGATCCCAGCCTTCTACTGAAACACCTCCAGTCTCTAGCTCTGTGAAAAAAAGGAGGAAGAAGAGGAGGAAGTCTACCCATAAAATAGACAACTTAAAAAGAGAAGACACACATGGAGACACATCAGAAGATGAAGACATGTTTCCTATAGAGATTAGCTCAGAGGAAGAAAAAGAACCATTGGACAATTCAAGGTATTGCATTGGAATTATGATATGTAGTGGAAACCTGGGTTAATGTTCCATGCCATGCCTTCCAACAGTAATTTCTAAGTTAGAACACATGGGTGATGAACACGTTACTTTAAGAGAAAAGCTTTAGGCTAGAGAGCTATTGGGAATGTTAGTAACAAAAGTAATGAAAATGACATTGAAAACATAAGAAGAATTGTCTGTGGTGTTGTGAACTAGAAGGTTTGAAATAGATAACATTTCTCTATCTCCTTTTAGTTCTTCTCTGCAGTAGGGTTTTTTGTTATCTGATGTATATGACAATTCAGTATTCAGATATGTTTTTTAAATGTCACGTCTTTCCCCATACTTAGGATCCCTGTTCCAGATGTGTTTGTTGATGATGTTTCTGACGTAAAGGCTCCTGCAGTTTCTGTGCTTTCTCAGTCTGCACCTTACCCTCGTTCAGATGGAGAATGGTCACCTCTTCAAAGGTACTTTTTCTGATACTACAATCCTAGGTAGTACTTCATCTTCTTTTTTCCATTGATGTCTTCTATGCCAGTGCAAGTGAAGTCATACTAAAAATGTTGATATCAAACATGGTCACTGACCACTGTTAGATGCATTCTGTAATTGCATTCAGGTAGTGTACAAAAACTTCAGGTAAGCTTTGTCCTTGATTCAGCAAATGTATGCATACAAATGCAGGTCTACAAATTCTGAAAAATATTTTTATCTGTTAATGTCACTGTTCGTTTATAAATACTGTAAAGAGGATGAATGTTTTGTGAAATGTGAATATTTACCTGATGCACACACCTTGTAAAGACTTTAGTGGATGCAGGTTTATAAGTCTTTAGTACTCTGAGCGTAATAAAGATTGGAATTCATGTATAAAAATAAGATTTTTTTAATGAATAAGAATATGAGCTTTTAATGTCCCTTTTACTATAGACATGGAATATTTATTGTGAAGAGGACACATACAGTAATTTGCTTGCATTTTCCTGTATGTGTATTTGTGTGCATGTGTATACCTTTCATGTCAAATCAGAGCATCTCAGATCTCCTTTCTTGCCTGTGGAACCCTGGCAAAGAGGGAGAATTTTTGCTTAATATGCATTGCATTATAATGCCAATTAGGTCTGTGCGTGTGCGCCCCTGTGCCCGTGTGCTCCACATCCTCCATGCAGACTGTTGGAGTACAGCAATATTCACAAGACCTTATGCTAAGAAGTCTAATCTCAATATCCTGCCTCTGTAGTTGGGGGGCAGAGGAAGGGACTGTGAGGAAATTATTTCACAGCAAGGGCTCAATTTAAATGTTTTGAATTGCACTCTGGAAGAAACTTTCTCCACTGCCTGTAAAGCTTAATATGATTAACCTCACCAGTCTGGTGATAGCATATGTCAGTACTCTGTCCTTTTGATGGCTTTTTGAAACTGTGTGCTCTGTTTGTTTCTTGATTGCAAGTATTCTGGATTTTGAAAACTCTAGATTTAAATTCAGCATTCATGTAGCTAATGCACAAAGAGTTTATGTTAATCAGCACTGTTTTCTTTCTCCCAACACGCTTTGCTGCCCAGTAAGCCTATAGATTGTGCAGGGCAAACCTCTCTTCTCACTGTTCCAGCAGATGGAGGCCTATCTAACTCTTGTCCTCAACAATCTTCCCACTTTTCTCTTCCAGACAGGTAGAACGGTTGTCCTCTTTTCTGGACTGCTTTTTGCTCCTTTTAACACATTAATACACTTTTAACACATTAATACTCAGTGAACTTCGTTGAATTTGTAACTGTACTTACTGCTAACCCAGATGCTTTGAAAGTGACATTGAAAACCACTTCCTCTCCTTGCTTCTTTGTGGGCATTGACTGGAGGTAAGTTACTTTGTTGAATCATCCATTCAATGAGGATGGCTGATATAACCTGGGTTAAAACTCAAGTTGATTAAGATGATAAAAACACCAAAAAGGAAGAACATAACTAGTGAAAACTTATATTCCTCTGAAGATTGACATTTCCATGTAGCTTTTTACAGTCAGTGTATATTTTAATGACATTTCTATCCCATGGTTTTCCTGAGTTGTTTGCTTGTGCATAGGTTGCAAAAGTAAAAGCAAAACAAAAGCCTCAGAGATTAAGTGATCAATAAGAAATGAAAAACTTGTAATGGGAGGAACCCAGTGCCAAAAGAAAACTCCTCTTCCTTTGTTTGGGAAAGGGGAAGACTTTCTGTGTGTTGAATTGCATTGGGGGAGAACATTGCAGAATAAAGATGACACAATAGGTAAGACATCCTGTCGGAGGTTTAGGAGATTAAAACTTAAACCTTCTCTGTAGGTAGGATTCCTCTGAGGGTGGACTCTTTTCTACAAAGGTAAAATTGGATACAGACACTTTTCGTGTTATCTTAAATTTGAGAAGTCTCAAGATTCTGCAGTCAGGGCCTTTCTCTCCATTAAGTCAAGGGAGAGAGGTCACAGCAACTCAGTTAAAAAATTTAAAGTAGATGTCTGAATATGACCTCTACAAATCTCCATTAATGCTGGGAAAGCTTTGAGTAATAAATCAGGCTAAATTGCTCATTGATTATCTCAACATAGTTGCCATACTAGGTGCCTAAGGCTGTATCAGAACTGATAATCTTGAGGTTTTCTCAGCTTCTAGGTCTGCCCCCGACTGTGTTGCAGCACCAAGATGAAGTGAGATCCTGGGATATTCAAAGCTCTTTGCCTTAGTGTTTTCTATTGCAAGGAAAGGCGGGTGCACAGGTTGGAATGGAAGAGTGGTGTGCTCTGGGTGGCTTCATGGACTTTCCTCTGGAGTTCATCTGTCTTAGAGTCTAGATAGCTAAAGTGCTGTAGTAGCTTGTCTGAGTGAGGCCTTCTCTGTGTCTGCAACTGTTGAAATAAATGCCTGGTGGGTCTTTCAGCAATTTTTTCCTTCCATGTGAAATAAGAAACTCTATTATGTCGACCTAAGAGGAGGTTTGGAGGTTCTCAGTTATTGGTGTGACATGTACATGGCATAGGCCTCTTTCCTTCTGACTAGGTTTTCACAGGTTATTTGTCATCAGTCAAGATGGAACTTTTTCTCAGGTCACACTTCTGCTTTCTCAAGAGATCTTTTTTCTTCCAGTGGAAAACACTGCACAGATCATCATGGTTTGCTATTGCAGAACTGCCAACTACAGGCCAAGTTCCTTGTTCTTTGACATTGGATTAGATTAAGTGCAATCATAGCTTGTTAAGGAATACGTAGGATTGTGACACAAGTATTCATCATTTATGGGATGTGAATCAGAGATGCTGATCTAAATAGCTGAAGTCTCCCTTCCTGCTTGTGCAGTGTTGCCAGGATGGGTGGCACTAGTTTGATCTGAAATATCTCAGCAATCTTTGCAAAGCTAGGGAATTTCAACTGGGCTGGATCAGTCCCTAATTTAAGGCCAGAGGAATTGCAAGAGATAGTTCTGCCCAAGACAAACCCAGATGTGTTCATGGATCATCAGGCAGCCTTTTCCAGCAAGAGCCTTCACAGAACAGAACTCTGCCTGCTTTAACATACACACATGTGCAAGTGCCACAGTTCTGGTACTTGCATGTGTGTGTCCAGGAATGTAAATCATGGTGCTCTGTAACAGCCTGGGCTCTTCCCTACTCAGCTGTGTGTACAAGGGAACCGTACTTTCTGGGAAAATTATGGAAAAGACCAAGAAAAATATTCTCACTGCAAACTGCTGAGGTTCTACCTGAAATGGAAACAATACCTCTGTTCTCTCAGGTTGGCTAATTGAACCTGGCTAAACACACTCCAAAGGCCAGACTGGAGATTTTTCTAAGGTATTTTGAAGGTTGAAATGGCTGTAGTGCACAGATGAGGTAAGTTATGAAGTGACAAGACTTCTTTAAATCTAGGTGGTTTTGGCTTAAAGCAGCAGTAGGAGCATTATTACCTGCTGAGATTTTCTGAAGTGCCCAGGGTCCTGATTTCCAAAGTTTCAATGCACCCTAAGCATGGAAAATACTGCAAATCCTACAAAATTTTCAGTGGGAGATGTAGAAGTTTTTGAAAAACCCACTAGGAGTTTCTTGAATTCCTAGAGCTCGAAAATACTTAAAATTGCATTGTATTTATTCCTTCATCTGTCAAATTGTAGGCGATACCCTAAGGACTGATAAAAACTTGAAATTCTTAGGACCTAAAAAGATCTTCCACAGTGGTATGGCTTATAAATTTTATAATTTAATTAGGTAACATAAATATCTGTAGCTAAAAAGTCATAGCATTTGTCCATATTCAAAGTGTATCTTATTGCAATATAGGTGAAAACAGTGAATAAAGTAGATAATTAGATTGCTGTTATTTCAGATGTGAGTGTGAGTAATCATTTTGCTGTGACCAATGAATTCCCTACCAGATAGCTCTACATAACTGCCTTTCATTGAAAGAGGGAGACCTTAGAGTAGTAACTAAAAGGGAGAGGGACTTTTCACAAGGGCATGTAGGGACAGGACAAGGGGCAATGGATTTGAACTGAAAGGGGGTAGGTTTAGGTTGGACTTTTGGTAAGAAAAGGGTGTTGAGGCACTGGAACAGGATGCCATGAAAATTTGTGGTTTTCTCATTCCTGGAGGTGTTCAAAGCCAGGCTGGATGGGGCTAGATGATCAGGGCACATGCAGGCTGGTTGGACTAGATGATCTCTAAGGTCCCTTCCAACCTAAACCATTCTATGATTCTGTGATTCTACCTTTATTAAGTTAGGAACTTCATGAAATAGGAAGCCTTTTGTTTTTGAGAGTGAAAGTAACTCAGTCTGGACCTTTGACTTAGGAATGTTGTGGATTCTTTTGTAGCTTGTAGTTTTTAAATCGGGATTGGATGAATATACCGACACATGTTATGGCCCAGACAAAAAATAATGGGCTTTGTTTAGGGGGTTCTGAGTGAAATTCTATGACTTATGTTATGCAGAAAGACAGAGTAGATAATCAGAATTTTTCCTGTTGCCCTTAAAATCAGTGAATCATTGTTTATTAATGACTGACTTGACATCACGTTATTGACTTCACCACATTAAAAATATGCTACAGGCTGATAATTTACTAATTAATTATTAAATAGTTTATATTGAGTAGTTCTCAAAACAAACAGTTAACAATGTTTGAACCGAAAGGGATCAAATTCTCTGTGTAGCTCTCCTGCTGTTCTCCATATAAACATGAACAAATTAGTATAAAGAAGGAGTCAACTGGATTACTTAGACTAATTTATTACTTAGTCAGGATAAGGTGTCTTCTTGATGCAAGTGAGTAATTTCTGCACTTCACATCCACTATAACAATACTAACAACTATTCATCTACTGTTGCTGGTACCATCCACATTGTTTTTTCCATACAGAAAACCAAAAATCCTCCAGAAATGTTCATGTCCAGTGTTCTTGTTCCATCTCTTTCAGCTTCTCAAATCCTACTTCCTTAACAGCACTTACTATAAAATGGATGAGACCTCTGAATGCCAGTGTCAGAGGATCCTGAACTGTTTAACCATTTTGCCATCCTTTTATACTTTCAGTTGGCTCATGATTATTTCAATCTTCAATGCTTTGGGTTGGTGGATATCAGTTTGGAAAGTGCTTAGTACATTGTGGTTACTTGCGGTTTTGTAACATTTTTTGTTTTTCTTTAGCCAATCAGATTCACGCCCTCCTACTCCTCAAAGTGACTCGGAATTAGTTAGTAAACCTATGGACAGAAGTGGACTGAAGGATAATCCCCACATGCACTGGGCATGGGGAGAGCTACCCCAGGCTGCAAAGGTATACAACGTAACTTGTTTAATTCCTGCTAGCATCTATTGTGCTTTAATGGGGCACATCTACTTATTCTACTGCAAACTGCTGAAGAGGGAATGGATCCTTGTTTTACATAAAGTTACAGTTTCTTATGTAAGAGAATTGCATGTTACTCCTTGGGAGGTATTGGATCTTATGCCATGGATGTTCTCAATACTGATGATATACAGTAGAAAGTACCTGAGACTTAGTCTTGTAAAAGTTACAAGCATAAAAACCAGATAAAATCAAACCCAATGTCCTTTGGTAAATCATTGAAATTCATAAATGGTCTTAAGATGGAAATTAGGTGCTTGGTGTTTGCAGAACACCAAGCATAGAATATGTTCCTTGAGTACATAAGCATCCAGAAACACCTCTATTTCTACATGCCCAGACATGCTGTTCTCTTGGCTGAGAGGACTGGCTTGGTGCCATTTGGCCCAGTTAGGTGGTGGGATCTGCAGTGTCCCAGCAGCATTGTCTCCTGTGCTGCACAGTGACTGTGGCAGCTGCGTACGCTGCAGTTCCCTCAGGTACTGTCAGCTCCTTGTAATGGCTGTGGAGTCAGAGCACCCGTATGGGAAGGGGAAAGGGGGAGTTATTACACCTGCCCTAGGGTGTGAGAAATAAAGGTCAGGTTTCAGTGGAATACTGCCACTGTAGGGGCCAGGATGGTGCAGGGTTTGGCCCCTCCTGCTGAAGGCTGGCTTTTCTACAGACAGGAATGCAGGAGAGATGGGGTCACACGCACAGTATAAAGAAGAAAGAAAATCCTGCTTTGCAGGCCAGGGCAGTGGGTATCCTGCTCAGAAAGAAGGCTTCTATGTTCTGGTGATGGCACCAGAGTTATAATGGCACTATTATAATTTATCTTTAATTCACTGTTATTAGCTAGTGACAAGACCAGAGATGGGAATCCTGAATTCTTAATTTCTTCAGAAGAGCTCTGGTCTCTTCTTTAACAGGCCAAGGATGAGCTGTACCATCAGCTCTATGTTATTTTCCTCCTCATGTGTATTAGAAGAAAATTGGGAGCAATTTTCTGCCCATAGAGAACTGATTTAAGTGCACAGGTCCATGCAGGAGTTTCAAGTTGGCATTTTTAGTCTAGAATTTAGGGTTTCCTGACAGCAGATTTAGGCATATCTTTTTTATCCCAGTCACACAGCCTGGTGTGTGTTGCAAATCTTATTCCTGGAGGCTTTTGCCTCTGAAGTCCCTGTCTGTGTCCTTAGACAAGCTATTCTGAGTTGATCTGGCCATACCTGAACTGAGAGTTATACTCTGGATGCTGTTGATCTTCATGGAAGAGTTGTTTGTTTGCTATGACGTGAAGGTTATAGCATCTGTACAGCTGCTGCTGTAGTTCAACTCCCCTCTGTAAGAACACTTCCTATCCCACACTCAGAGAAGATCTGAAATTTTTCCTATAGAGTGATTTAAAATCTAAATCTGGGGTATAGATGAGTGACAGTGTCCTGGTGCCTGAGAGCATCCTTATTGTGCAAGGACTTCAGTCTGCACTACTTTCTCCTGTTTGGCACAGTTACCTTCTGAAGGAAAGCCAAGATTTTCACAGGAAGGGAGGAAGGCAGGGTGGGAGGTGGGATGTGCAGGTGAGTGGAAATTGAAGACTGTAGAGCAGATTGCAGAACAAATCTTTCCTGGCCCCAAGATGCAGACGAATTTTGTGCAAGTAAACACACAGCAGAAAGGTCGTTTGTGCACTGTAGTCTCCATCTCAGTTAGTGATGGCTTTCTGCTGTAGTTGGTTATCTTGAGAATCTCATCTCACTGGAGTGAACCGAACAGGTTAAACTCTGTCTGTTACATTTTTTAAGAGCGTTTCTTTATAATAATCTGTTTAATTTTCCTCACAGGCCAGTTCTTTGCTCAAAGCAAAGGAATCCAGCATGGTGGATGTAAATCCTTCTGAAAGCACTCACTTTCGGGTCATCCAGAGCTCTCCTATAGAGGAGTTTAATACAGTGTCTCCTTCGCTTGCCCTTGGACAAGCAGATGCAGCAACTGCTGATGAAAGTGAGCCCTTACCAGTTGAGACAAATAAGCCAGAGACAGAGTCACCAGGAGCAGCTGTACCACTGTTACCTGCCAATGAAGAAATAAAACAAGCTGCAGCTTGCTCAACCCAACCAACTGGCAAGACAGATTCCCCTTCAAGAAAGAAAGGTAAAGCTGTTGATTCTGCACTTTTACATATATGATTTTGTCTTCAAATTTCATGGTGGTAAAGCACCTCATTGCTATATAAATTAATTCGTGCCCTGGAGACACTTTCAGGTCTGGAAAGGGGTAGGGTTTGGAAGGAGCCTTCAAAACCCGAGTTGTGCAGCAGGCTGTTCACAAGAGATATGTATTAGAAGATTCTCCTTGGTCTGGAGTTTTTGGCAGCTCTGTGCATATGAGCAAGACTGTGAGCAAAGCTTGCTTCCATTTCATTCGTGTTTGATAGATTCAGGGGTTTCACTCTGTGGATAAGCACTGTGTAGATCTGCTGGTTCACCTGAGTTATATGTTGCTGATAACTGTGAAAACTCTGCTCTAGTAAAACACTGTAGTATGTCTTTTGCACAAGCAGCAGTTTTGCGTTAAAATGAGGTGCTTTTGTTTCACATGAGGCTTTTCAGTTCTGTGTGGTAAATATCGTGTCCTGAATATGTGAAATATAACTCCATCTACTTTTCTACTTCCTAATTTCTGGGCTCTATATTAATGATATTTTATAACAAGTGTTACAATCTTCACATGAAATTTATTGGCTTACAAATTATCTGGTTTAGAGCACTCATTCTATAATTATATAAGCTTTACATAAGCCTAGTTTGTGCAGCTGCTTTTTAATCAGTAAACATACAAGTTTCTTAGCTTCTTCCCCATGCATTCCACTGTCTCTGAAAACAAAAAAAACTGACGTGTTACTCTGCTTACTATTCAGTATTTGCATAACTTTTTTCTAATTACTTTTCTGATGTTTGGTGTTGAAAATTGGGATAGTGAGAGGTTGTGCATTTGAGAATCAATTCCAAATTAGTTTTTGGCCCCCCAGTGGTTACTTGTCTAGATGTACTAGCAACAACAGGACAGTGATGACTCTGTGTGTTGGTCCTTGTGACAAACTTAAGAGTGTTGTCTTGTCCCCTACAACGGTGCAGGTGCACAGACAGCACATCAGTTGTATGTGCTCAACAGTGAGTTGTCTCCTAACAAGCCAGTTATAGTGTATTAGAGACTATAGTCTAGTCTGTTACTTCCCTTTTGCAAGGAGGGATTGAAGATTAGGAGATTAAATGCTCTGACTGCCATACTATGACAGTAGGCCTATGCAAATACTTAGAAGGTTTTCCTCTTGCTGTTTTCCTGCAGTGACCACGGACTTCTGATTCCTAGTGATCTTGTCTGGCATAGGGAGTCTTCGGCATGTCACAAAACTAGTCCTCTGCTGTCCCATTTTGTGTATTCATAGTTTGAACAACTTGTTTTGAAATTTTTGGCAGTAACATTCTGTACAAACAGTTCACAAACTGTTATAACTTGTCTGGTTTCTCAATCTTAAAATGAATAGTTAGACAGTAATAACAGCTCTGGATTGTTACTCAGAAAATATTAATTAATAGGCTGATTTGTGCTGTTCTTTACAGACAAACGAAGCCGGCATCTTGGCGCTGATGGTGTCTATTTAGATGATCTCACTGACATGGATCCAGAAGTTGCAGCACTTTATTTCCCCAAGAAGTATAAGTTCTTTTCTTATATTTTTACTTTTTAAAGAGCACTTGTCACCATCCATGTTTAGATCAAACTCATTGCCAACCAGATAAGACCTCTTCTGCAGCGTCCAGGCAGAGATGAAGGTAGAAGGAAAATAAAACTCTGTAGAGAGGAATATTAGAGCTTTTGGCAGGTGCTGCATTTGGGCCTGAGAAGTGTGCTCGCAGCTTGTTTTCTGTTTTGGTCAATTAAGCATCATATATTGATTGTAGATCATTATGTAATATACACTGATGTTTGTGAGTGTTACTCACATGTCCTTGGAGAGCAGTTGGCTTTGGGATATATTTATCCCCATGTCCTGGCTTATTACCATGAAGAACTTATCTTACTGTTAACAGTATTCGCAGAAGATTATTGCTCTAGTGTTGCTCTACTGTGGGTGATCACCTATAAATATGAATGTGAGAAAATAATTTCTGGAAGATGCATGACAGAGTTATATGTGAAAATATTACACCCTGAGCATACGATTTCCAACTCATTCTGATCTTTATTAGATCCTCTTGTAACATTTATAGCTCCTCTTTCCACATCATACTCTAGTCATTTGACTAAAGTCATTGAGCAATAACTAAAGTAGCTTGTGTATTTTATTTTTCTTATTTGCTTGCTTGTAATATTAGCATTTCAATAAAACTGAAGAAGATTAGTTAAATGGAGAAAATGTCAGATTGAAAATTTCTTAAATGCATTCTTATAAATCTGGAGTGAAAAGCACAGTTTGATGAGCTTGAATTTTGTAATAATTATCTCATACAAAAATTTTAAGTGGGCATAATGATTTATTGTTTCTTAAAATTTTAATCCTAGTAGTTTATATGTAGAGTGTTTTATTTATAGATACATGACACATAAATAGACAAACATACACATTTTTGTTTGGGTTTAGCTATCAGTTTATATAATTAAACGTATTAGTTTATTATTTAATTTACATTATTCTTGTTCCCTTGTGCTATAAAATTTGAACGATTTTTTTTACTTTCTTTTTTTTCTCTTTTTTAATCTTAATATGCACCAAATGTATGCAGTGCTTGTCAAAGGGAGTGAATTTGGGAAGGAATACATGAAGACTGAATTCCTAATTTTTCTTTTCCAGTGGGGATAATGTCCAAAGTAAGAGCACGAATGACACAGGGCCGCGGTCAGCCAGCCACTCTCCACAGTCTGTTGGCAGCTCAGGTGTTGACAGTGGAGCCGAAAGCACCTCGGATGGAATTCGGGATTTGCCCTCCATTGCCATTTCCCTCTGTGGAGGCCTTACTGACAACAAAGAGATAACCAAAGGTACAGAATGACTTTCTGAATTGCAGGCATTTGCTGGCAGCCAGGTTTGAACATTGAAGCCTGAGGCTGCAGAGCCCTCCTGTGGCTGTGCTCAAAAATGTGTCGAGAAGATAATTACTGCCCATGTAATAATCAGTTTTCTAGAACTTTTTATGCTTAGAATAGTAGACTTATATAGAACTTACTATTTTTAACACGTTTTAGTAATCTACTACATACAAAAATGTTTGAATGTATTTTACTGGTATTTTTATTTCCTGATAGTGCTATGTTTTGTATCACAATAGTGTTAGTGGTGCTTTTACTACTTGGTATAGTATATAGCTAGGTAATTCACAGCTGTTGTTGTCAGGAATGAAAAAGGTGGTCTGTAAATGGGGACACGAGGAGAGAGAGTTGGAAAGCTTAACATGAGTTCCTGTCCCAAGTCCAATTTCTTGTGTAACTTTTAAGTACATCACCTACAATACTCTATTCCTTAAACTTCCAGGGGCATAAGGAGAAGATAAATGTGTTAAGACTTACACTTCCTGCAGTATTGTGGCATCATAAAATCATATGAGCCTAATGCTACACTGACTGCTGCTCAGAAGCTTTGTATTAAAACATTTCAAATATACTGTGATTTATTGGAGTCATATTGTTATCTGAATCACTTGTAAATTTTATAACCAGACGTGTCTATCTCGTAATGGCCTTTTTAGCCACCAACGCGCTTGCAAGAAACGTGGGTAGAGCCCTTCCCAAATCTTCGTTCGCGAAGCCTAGCCATGATGATGATTGTTATCTGAATCACTTGTAAATTTTATAACTTTTCTAAAAGGAGGTTTTTCTCCCTCATAATTACATCCCTGAGCTTTCACTTAAATTGTATGTTGAACAGGAAAGACTCCCAGAAGCAAAGAAAGAAACCCTCAGCATCTTCTGAGAGTCAGAGTCTCTGAACAACTTGCTTCATATTACAGTTAAATTTCAACACCCTCATAATGAGTGTAAACCTATGTACCTGAGAGATGCTAAGAGGTTTAGGTTGGCCCATCTCAGGCATCTATAAATGCATGCTTTACAAATGTAACTTTTTCCCCCACAGAAGAATTCTTAGAACATGCAGTGACATATCAGCAGTTTGTGGACAATCCTGCTATCATCGATGACCCTAACCTTGTGGTTAAGATTGGAAATAAGTAAGTATATTTCAGAAAAAAAAATTACTGTTGTGACAAAAACACTTCTGTGGTACTTCAGTGCATTAGATCAGTTTGGCCATAGCTGAAAAACTGGTTTTGAATGTCGTAGCTTGAATTCACCCAGAAAGATTCGATTCCATGGTGAATTCAACCCCTTCTAGTTACCTTTCCTCCATTAAATTGAAAGTAAAGAGCAGTTTCAGATGACCTATTAGAGCTAACTGACAAAATTTGAATTTCAAGAAGCTGCTATTAAATGCTGATAGTATTCACACTCAATTGACAGAGTAAAAATTAAATATGATATGAACTTACTAAGGCTTGCCCTGAGCCAGTTTGAATAATTAATATTTGCAGGGATGTGTCAGTCTGCTTGCAGTCACTCAGTACCCAGCAATTTTTTTTAATGTACTGAATATTTTGCTAATATGCCTCTATGGAGACATTGCTTTTCAAGACTTGTCAAACTTCAGCCACTGAGTATGAGACTTACATTTCTGCAAGGCTAAGATTATTTCATATTTATATTACCAGCAGCAGGGCAGCACTGTAGTCTCTGCCAGATGCAGGTGCAGCTATTTGAAGGATTCTTTAACTTAAAACCTTACACCTGGCAAACAGTGTTAGAGGGTAGAGGAGATATGGCATTGTGCTGCACTTAGAGATTTGGCTACCCTTAGTCACAGACATTGCCTATGCAAATCTCATGTACCAGGTGATAGTTTGTATTGTGTATGTTATGGCCTCTTACTTGACCCTCTCTGTGCTCTGAGGTGAGTCATTTCCTGCTTCCCTGACAGTCATTTGTCATTTGAATTTGATGGTAGTATTTACCTGCCTACTGAATGTGTTGGGAATAAAAGAGTACTTAGTGAGGATCTTACTGTCATATTCTCTGAATGTTGGGTGAGCTTCAACTTCCCTAGACAATGGATACTGTAATTGTCCTACTGTCTGTAACAAGAGTTGGCCCCTGTTCAACATGTAATAGCAGAAGCTTGACATTCTACAGACTACACCCCTTGACTTTTATGTAGTTCCTTGATGAAAAAATGGAAAAACTTGTAAAAAAATGTGGCTCATGCTGTGATAATGAGGTATAGTAAGGAGATTAGCTGGATGGATGGTTGCCAGAGAGTTGTGGTCAATGGCTCTATGTCCAGGTGGAGGGTGATAATGAGCTGTGTTTCTCAGGGCTCTGTCTTGGGACTGGTGCTCTTCAGTATCTTTATCAATGGCGTAGACTGTGAGATAGAGCACATCTTCAGCAAGTTTGCAGATGACACAAAACTGAGTAGTGCAGTTGAATCAACAGAAGGAAGGGATGCCAGCCAGAAGAACCTGGACAAACTTGAGGAATGGGCCCATGAGAACCTCATGAAGTTCAACAAGTTCAAATGCAAGGTGCTGTGGCTGGGTCAGGGCAATCTCAGGCGTGAGTACAGACTGGGAGATGAACTCATTGAGAGCAGCCCTGCAGGGAAGGACTTGGGGGTTCTGGTGAATAAAAAGTGGGACATGAGCCAACAGTCTGTGTTTACAGCCCAGAGGGCCAACCACATCCTGGGCTGCATCCAAAGCAATGTAGCCAGCAGGTCAAGGGAGGTGATTCTGCCCCTCTACTCTGCTCTGGTGAGACCCCACCTGCAGTGCTGTGTCCAGATCTGTGGTCCCCAGCACAGGAAGGACATGGACCTGTTTGAGCAAGTCTGAAGGAAGGACACAAAGGTGTGATCAGAGGGCTGGAGCACCTCTCCTATGAAGACAGGATGACAGGGGTGGGGCTGCTCAGCCTGGAGACGAGAAGGCTCTGGGGAGACTTCATTGCAGCTTTTTTGTGCTTCAAGGGAGCTTAGAAAAAAGGAGAGCAACTTTTTACATGGGCTGATAGCAATAGGGTAAGGAGGAACAGTTTTAAACTAAAAGAGGAAAGATTTAGATTAGATGTTAGGAGGAATTCTTTACTGTGAATTGCTGGAACAGGTTGCCCAGAGAAGTGGTGGATGCACCATCCCTGGAAGTGTTCAAGACAAGGTTGGATGGGGCCCTGAGTAACTGGTCTAGTGGCAGGTGTCACTTCCCTTAGCAGGTGAGTTGGAATTAGACGATCTTTAAGGTCCCTGCCAACCCAAACCATTCTGTGATTCTGTGATGACTTGAGGAATGTGTGACAAATACCCTTTCTAAAGGGTCTGTCTTCTCTTACATACCCTGAAAAGTATATGCCATAAATACCTGTGGAATAAGATGGGTCTGTTATTACTAGTGCAGGCCAGAGTTTGACCTGTGTTTCATGGCTTTAGCCTGCCAGGTGATAAATACGAAGTAGATTGTGAATTGGGATTACAAAATGCAGTAATTGTCTCTCTTGCGTGCCCAGGTACTATAACTGGACAACAGCTGGTCCCCTTCTACTGGCAATGCAGGCATTCCAGAAACCTTTGCCAAAGGTGAGATTGAATATGAAGATTGGTAAGAAGAGGAGTTGTGAAATTATGCCATTGATTAAGGGAGGGAAGAGGGTTGTTGTACAAGAGAACACAGTACCATCTATCCACACGTAACTGTTCGTCTAGCCTATGCTAACGGCTAAATAAGCCGGACTAGGTTTGGTTTGTGAATAGTGTTTGCCTGCCAGGCGATTACAACTATTTTGAAGAAGGAAAACTTCCTTTTTTACTTTGTTAATATGGATTGTAAACATAAATTGTGTTGGCCCATGTTAGTGTTTTAGAAAAATCATCTATGAGTGTGAAATTCAGTGTGTTCATATTTTTTTTTTAGTGTATTCTGAAGGCTGATAACATTTAGGCAGTGCAATTTTAATTTAGTGGAGAAACCGGTATTTATAGTTGGAGCAATCTGTATGATTGGGAAGATTTACTTGGTTGAACTGTACCTCTGAAACTAAAATTACTCATTTATGCTACCATTCATCTTACTGGTTTTCTTCATGACTTGTTATTTAGAGTTTTGATTTGCTATAGTTATGAAACTAAGGAATTGAAATACTAAGATACTTTATTAAAACAGACACTGTGAATTGATTGAAAACTGAAATTTTTGCAAAAAGAAATCACTCATGTCCTGCAAAATACACTTAGATGCATGTCTAATTTTAAGCATGTGAATTCTCTCACTGAAAGTCAATAGGACATCTGCTTGAAGTTATCAATATGTTTGAGAACGTCTTTAAATTGTAGCTGCTGTTCTCAGTGGTGGCATTCCAGTCTCAGTAGCTCCATATACTCCGTGTTTTTGTTATTTTGTTTAAAAAGCTGTCATTTGCTCAACTTTATTCCTCTGTAATTTCTTTTTTGACCTCATATACATTAAATAATACAGTGGAGAGAACCTAGGGAAAAACTGAGAAAAGGGGTGCATTGTCCCACACATTAGCTGAGTGAAGCCTCCTCCCTTTACTGCTAAGAGTTCTTTGAATTTTTTTTTTCAATTTTTAAAAAATCACTAATGAGCATCACAGCTTTCTTTTGATGACTTTGCTTACAGTGGAAGCTAGCATCTCAGAAAGGCAGTGGCTAAGCTGTTCCAAGGCATACCAAACACTGTGGCCACCTTTACTATAATATTTTCCCTTTTCATCTTTTGCTTCTCTCTGAGTGAAAGAATTCAGCTCTCCTTGTTGCAATGCATAAGGCTCTAGTCATTATGGATATTGAAAGAAACCTCTCTACTTATGTCTAGTACGTAGAACCAATGAAAACTAGCCAAGGTTTATAAAAAAACCCCAATTCTAACATTTTCATAAAAGCTAGTAATGTCTTTGCTTTTTTTCTAAAGTGATGATTAATGATGAACTTTGCAGTTATTTTTAATGAGAATAGCCATCTTGCATGTCAGTTTTTTACTGTTTTGCATGACAGCTCCTTCAGAAAGTTATATTTTTCTTTTTTTTTAACATATAATTTCTACTAAATAACTTAAAAACAGTAGGTTCTCCATTCTAGACATTATACTAATATCTCTTTATGCTTTTTTTCTTCTTTGATTTGGTTTCTTTTTCATTTTCCTTTTAAATATACCATAAGTATTCATGCTTAAGTTACTTCAGAGCAGCTCTGGATACCATTAGATTTTGCTTTAGTAGAATGTATGGTCCACAGACAGTATGTTTACTTTTATTCTATTTATTATCAGTTAAAATTGTGTGTTTGGCACTTTTTTATTTACATATATCAGGTTGTCCTTTGTTTTGGGCCTTTTTTATGTTACCATCCATTTATCACAGGCAACTGTGGAATCTATAATGAGGGACAAGATGCCCAAAAAAGGTGGAAGGTGGTGGTTTTCATGGCGAGGGAGGAACAGCACTATTAAAGAGGTAAGTTTAAGAAGCAAGCAAGAGTTTCCTTTTGGTTGCAATGGGAAGGCTGGGTATCTCCATATTCATCCCTCAGAACTTTACTTCAGAGAGCAAGTCAGTAGTCAATTTGACTGAGGATATAGACATTAAGAGATATTTAAACATGGTCTGGAGTCTGATTTCTTTTGACTTCAGAAAGCTTTGGATCAGACCCTACCTGAAACATTTGACTGAAGAGTTTTAGTTCTGCCTTTATTTTTATAAAGAAATCTGAGGCAGTATTATCTAATCTCTTAAATCTCTTTTTGGGAATTTAGAATCAAATAGTTGTGCCATTAATTTAATGTTTTAACGCAGACGACCTACCTTTCTGCAGCTTTCTTTTGATAGTTGAGGAGCAGACATATTTATGAGTAGTGTGAGCTATAAAATTCAGCAAAACCTAAGATGGAAAACTGACTATATATATTAGTTTGAAAGTCTTCTGGAGTTTCTTTTCAAAGCATTAAAAGTTTGTGGTAACAGTCTTAAAGCCATGGATGAACATTAAAGAACAGTGAAAAAACCAAAGCTTTATATGAAATATTGATCTCCTGTCTAGACATATTTAATCTTTAAAATTTTCTAATAAAACCTCTTCGTATTAATTTATTCTACTGAAGCGTTAGTACTTGAGGGGAGAAAATGACTTCTAATACAATTTTATGGTTATGCCTCAGTCAGGAACTTCTTTAGCCTTGAAATAACTATTCTACTGATCTGTGGGTATGGGCTTCAGAGCATGAGATTTTAGTTTTATAGTTGTTTGAAGTTTTTAGAATTTACCTCTGGAAGTATTTGGTCATCTCTTGAGTTGTAGAACTACTCACTATTTAAAAATCTTGTGGAATGACAATCAGTAGTGTTCAGGATCTACTCAAGAGCAGTTTGGAGGATTTTATTGGATTAAAAATTTTAATGATTATATGAAAGGGAATTGCATTTTTTTCCATCTCCGGAGTCATACTTTGCTTTTTCAGGTGAAATCTAGCTATTTGAGGTGTATGAACTGAGTAGTTATGGAGTTGATCCCAGAACTTCAACAGTACTAGATATAAAATCTGATATTTCTCTACTTCTTCCATGCAAAACTAAATCTTAATTACCCTCTGGGTTTTATATTTTCATTTTTTAGGTCTTTGTACAGCTTACATTCTTCAAGAAGACCATGAGATTTTACTTTGCCTACAAGCAAAGGAAACAAACATGCTGTTGATTTTTACCAAGTTCATACAAGACAGAATTTGATTTTCAAGTGTTTTTCTAAAGACATTTACTTTCTGCTCAACAGGAGATGCCTAGCTACTCATACTTGTGTTTTTACAGGAAACAAAGCCAGAGCAAGGTATGAATGAGAGTGGACTTACAGAAGACTCTTCACAGATGAGCAGGGCAAACAGGTATCCTCAAAATTATCTGTACCTCAAATAAGGAAGAATTACCTTTTAAAAGTGAAAGCACCTCGTATATTTTGATCAAAGAAATACCGTCTCAGTGAAATAAGTTCAATTTGTTACTAATTGCACCACATAAGTGCAGATAGGAGGACTCTGCCCATGGCAGGGTTGCAGACTCTGTGGGTGCACCCTGGCATTTCTGTGGTTTGACTGGCAGCTCTGTGGCACACATTCCCATTTCAAGGGAACATCGTAGATGAACCCGTGTTTTTGTCAGATCCCAGTTGCTAAAATTTTCAATTTACTTGGATTTATGGCCTGACCACTTAAATTGTTCCTGCATATTTTGGGAAGTTCAGGGGCCTAAGACTTTACAGAGTGTTTTTCACAGGTAATAGTCATGTTTTGGTCTTGGAAGTCTGTAATTAAAAATTTACTGTTTGCAAGCAAAATGTGACAAGTGGGATGTTGAGAAAAGCTTTTGGGATGAGATGTCACAAAAGATAAAATAGGCTTTTAAATGTTGCTAGTCACAACATATGGTACCTTGATACTGGGTCAAGACTTCCTAACATCAAACAACGTCCAGGTGTGATTGAATAAGAGGCCAAATGCTGATTGTTTTCAAGATAAGATTTGTAGGATCTGAAAGAGTATTTTACCTTCTGCCTACAGTGATAGATTTTTTTTTTACTGTAGGAAAACTTTTTCTCTGAAGAAAAAAACCCTTAACAAATTTCTAAAAAATGGTTGTACCAGAAAAAAAAGACCCAACCTATACCAATGCATATTTAAACAGAATAGTGTGAGGGAGCTCAGGTTTCATGACTTTTCATCATTGTATCCTGAATGGGATAATCCTGAAAATTCTGGAAAAGAATAATCCGATGAGCTGAACTGGGTCAGTGAAAGAGAAAGATGAGTTACTTTCTATAATAAAATTTCCACCACCTGCATTTCTTTTTTATTCATTTTTAAATTCTTTTGGGAAGGAGAGAAAGGGGAAGAGAAAACCAGAATAACAAATGCATCTCTCTTCTCCTGAGAACAGCAGATTTTTTGTAGTTATAGTATCTGGTGGGTATTTTTTTTTTACCACTATGAGATTTTTGAGTCAATGCAGCACATTAGTTTATATTTGTTAAATTTAAGTAGTGAAAACAAGTGAATGGCTAGAGAAATCCAACTATGAATAATGGGGAACATGCATGAATGAAAATTCAGTGCTTCATTGATATATTCAAAGTCATAATGTGAATGACCTCCTGTGAGACAGTACTTGGAAGCAGAGAATCAAGGACTTACTTGGTGACTCACTGTTAATGCATTTTTAATGGATACTGAGATGCATTTACTGACATGATAACATCATTTTCTGTGTGTGCAATGTTCCAGAATAAAAGATGAATCTTCTTCAAGCGATGAAGACCCTAGAGCTGCCAAACAAAACCTTGGGTCATTACAAACCAACTCCAGTCATCTCTCATTATTGTCTGGAGTCAGTTACAAAAAATCACTTCGACTCACTTCTGACCAGCTTGTGAGTTAATTTTACATCCTTGTCCTAAATGTCATTTCTAGTACAATATGAACCACATTGTTATTCAGGCTTGCAAAGCTTAATTACCTCTCATGTCTTCCATTTAATTCTCTATCTTGTTACATTTTTAAAAAAATCAACTTTCCCTTTCTCTTTTATATATTAAGCATGAATGTTGTTCCTTGCAGCAAGTGCTGGCATTCAGAGGTGGGATCCTATTTAGAAAAATGTCAAAATTAAATTCCAAAGTATGTATTTTCCACCTGTGTAAAAGTGTACTGGAGCCACATCATTTTTTGTAGTATATATAATGTGTATATGTTTACCCACAGGCCTCTCTTTTTTCTTTTTTTCCTTTTCTCCTTTCCTTTCCTCTCATTCATAGGCAGTCACATTGTGCATAAATATAGTTTTCTGTTAATAACTTCTAAAAGAGCTGCTTGTGAACTTACTATGAGGCCAGACTATTAATTGCTTTGAAGCCATTTCTTTTCCTCTGTGACAGAGGTGTTTTGACTAATAGTGACAAAACTGTTTCAATTTTGTGTTCTATACATTTCAATTTGATCTGGAAAAATGGGCTACTTTAGGAAAATTCTTTTTGTCGTCTTATCTACAGGCGATCAATTTTCTGAAGGAAACCCACACAAGGTGTTCAACATTAAACAGCCCATTGCTCACTACCTGGATAATTTGTAAGAAATACAGAATTTTTCCCAAGAGATAGATGGCATGTGTTGGTAATTTTCTATAGCAAACAGAAAGCAAGGGTGGCATAAATATATTGGTATGTTTCAGTTTCAGAAACCTTGCAGAATTTAACTGAAGCTAAAACTGCTTTCTTGATGAAACAGTGGCTGAGACTGATCAGTTACCCATCAGCTATTCTTCATTCTCACCTCCTTTTCACTTTTTTACTAATTGAAAAACAGCAGTGAAAGATAACTAAGAAAAAGATACACTTAGATTATTAAATTCTTACAGGTTTGGGGAAAATGAACAGGTAGGTCCACAAATAGTGTCAAATCAATAATCTCTTGTCCAGCATGTCACTGAGTAACACAGGAAACAGTGAAAGTCAGCAAAGTGGGAGAGTGAAGGATACTTAGTGGAGACTGAAGGGTAATAGGTCCTGTGGTGTGAGAGGTGGGTTATTATATGAAAGAGATGAAATACCACAGAACACAAATCCCCATATAAACACTCTTAATTAGAGTTTATGAAGCTTCATGTTACTCACATGCCTCTGCATGTGTATATATATCTCAGAATAGAAAACTCCCAGAGATGGTCCCTATTCTGCCATTTGTTGCTGTTTATGTGAACATTTGGGGATTTAATTTTTTTTAAATATACCTTAATTGTGAAACAGATTTTTTTTTTATTTACTTTGTTCTGTTCAATGCCTAATATATACAACAGGGGACAAACCTCTGCTGTCCTTATTTAGACCACAGCTCTGCTGAAAGCAGTGAGATTCAGTGTGACCGAGGCAATGATCATCTGTGGCTTTGTGTTTGCACTGTGCCCATTTCACGTGCTCAGTTTGTTGATCATCTTGCTGATAATGTCTTGCAGAAAAGCTTAAAGCTCAAGAATGGCCCCAACGATGTGACCTTTAGTGTTACAACACAGTATCAAGGCACTTGCCGCTGCGAAGGCACCATTTACCTATGGAATTGGGATGATAAAGTTGTTATTTCTGACATTGATGGAACCATCACACGGTGAGTTCATGAACAGGGAGAGTCTTTATCTGCAAGGACAAGTTGCCCTTTAGACTAAAGGAAAAAATAATTAACAGGGAATTTTGAGTCAGAGAACCATTACATTCCAGCGTTTTCTGAGGGTGTTTATTTTTTTAAAAAAATTTGACTATCAAACAGTGCAAGAATCCTTAGCTGAATTCTTAATTTAATAAAGATGCATGCCATATGTTCCCATTATTTGTCACCTATTGGTGTTTCATGATAGTATTTACAGCAGTATTGGAGGACTTTCTGCAAAATCCTAACTTTTTTGCTTCATGACGCTTACGAAGCACACTTGTTGCATTAAAAAGAAGAAACACGTGAATTTTGTTTTAGAAGAAATTACTGGGGCATTCCAGTGAGAGACATTATTATCATTTAGAAGACAGGACTCCAAAATCAATGTCAGAATTAGAATCTGATGGAAAGTTTCAGATAAGTACTTCGGATAAAAACCCAGAATTTTGGAGTGACCAAAATGATTCACTTACTTGCTAATTTTTCTTTATTTAGTTATTTAACATTGGGGAAAACAATTGTGTGTGGAACAGGGGAGACAAAAAACATTGTCTTTTTAAGTGAAATGCTTAGATTTTGTTTTAAAATCAGTTTATTTCAAAATGAAACTTAGCTTTATGTAATCAGAAAAAAAGAATGAGGAAAAATAATTTCCAAGAGTAATCTGGGAGGAACTAAAATACTTGATTTAAACTGAAACTCTCTTCTTTCTTGTGATTTATCCATTGTATTGCAGACTTCTTTTTCGGTGCAAACTTTTGTTTTTTAAGCTTCAGTAAAGTTAGTGGGATCTATTCTTCACTCTGTTGTTGAGCTGCCCAGAGTTACTTAATCACTTCACCTTACAATACCAGTGCAAATCCACCCTAAGCCACTACCCAATGTTTTCCCTCTACGATGAGAGATATTCAGGGTGTGGACTTCTTGCTGTGTATCTGTACAATGCTTAGTCAAGCAAGGAGTCTGTTTGCACCATTTGTTATTATGCTGTAAATAATTTTCTCATATAAAGCAGGAAATATATTGAAACCAGAATAAATATTTCAAAATACTTCATATGTGACCAACTCCTGGCTTTATGTGGAGAAGTTTGAAGTAAGCTAGAATGTGACTTATCTCATACTCTCAATTTCCTGTAAACTTCCCTTATGAACATATTTGGTTTATTTAGAAAATATTTAATGTAAACCTCAAAAGGAATGCTTAGCACTGGTGGCCTCCTACGTGTCTGATTGATGGCCTATGTGCTGTAATTTCCATGTTACCTTATGGGTCACAAGGGACCCCTGGTGGCCTAGTGGTTAGCATGCAGGACTCTCACTGCTGCGACCCAGGTTCGATTCCTCGGTCCCCCGGGCAGATGGAGCCCGTTAGCCCTGGGAGGCCATCCATCTATGAGAAGGTCACTCTAAACAAACCTACGTCCTGAGGACCTCACTGCCATTGTCCAAACTTGCTTGGCCCCGGCAGATGAACCTTAGGATTAAAGGGTGGGCTCAGTTCAGCGCAGGCTGTGTCTCACCTAAAAAATCCATTGCGCAGGCTGGAAAGGTAAAAAGACCTTTCCCAAAATCTTCGTTCGCGAAGACTGGCCATTATATGGGTCACAAGCTTATCTGTCTTGGGGCACAGGAGTAATTAAAACAGTGTGGCCAAGGATGAGCACATCAGTCTGTCTCAAAAGAAAGGGGAATAAAATAATCCTCCTCTGATTACAATCAGTACCTTACAGAAAACATTATTTTCATTTGCTGCTAGCCAAGTAAGCTGGTGGGGTTTGTATTATCCTCAACTGTTATAATAAGTGTTGGTTTTTTTCAATTCAGTTATATTGTTTTTTCTTTATTCAGGTCAGATACTTTAGGCCATATTTTGCCAACTCTTGGCAAAGACTGGACACACCAAGGGATTGCGAAGTTGTACCATAAAGTGAGCCAGTGAGTATTCAGTAAATCTGTTCATGCATCTGTGGCTTGTTTGTGTTTATTTATTTGCACATAAAAATTAAAATTTCTCTAAGTTTTTCTTAACCTATAAGGGTAAAAATTTCATCAATATCTCATCGCTTCGGTGATGCTTACACAGTGTAAACATCTGCTGCATGGTGTCCAGAGCAAAACCTGCTATGTGATACCAAAAGCAAAAGGCCCCTGTCTGTGAGTAGTGATTGCTTTTCCAACCATCCCAAACAGATACCTACAGTTAGTTCCAAAGACTATAGTAATTTGAATGAGTTATGCAGTTGCAGCGTGTAATTTTTTAATACTGATGATTATACAAATTTATTTTGTTATTCCTGTAGACAAGTGTTTGTTACTATTTTATTGTTAAATTGAAATGTTAGGAAGGATCAGTCTTAAAATATTTTTGTGTCATTGGTTAATTTTGAGAGTAGGTGATAAGTAAACATTGCTTAAAGTACAATTTAAAGTTGTCGAAAGTCAGTAAGGCATATGCTGTCAACAGCCTAAGGAAAAGGCTTTAACCTGGCAACACCAGTTACCATATTATAATCCAGTAATTGACCTGCACTGATGCCTGTTGGTCCTCCACTGGAGGAGGTAGAGGATTGGATTCATCATGTTTAGGTGTGGCTTTTACATTCTCCGTAATCCATGGAAAAAGATGGGCATCTTCAAAAAGTAGCTCAGTACACCTGAGATCTAACCATGTTTAGAAAAAAATATTTTTTCCTGTTAGTTATTGAAGAAATATTGGGCAGCAGTATATCAGCTGTGCTCTAGGTCAGTTAATGTCATTAACAAAGAAACTATCTGGGTATGACCTAGAGCAATATATTCCAAAAAATTGGGGATGTTTCCTCTGATGAATATGAACAGGAGAAAAACAATCAGACAGTACCAGCTCACATTGGGTGATGTGTGGGAATGCTTCTAGGTGAGCAAGGCTGATGCAAAAGTACAGGTGTACTGTTGGTTCCCTTGATACGTTTTACAGTGTAGTCAAGCCATTGTGTGCACTGGAAAGACAAAGAGTATGGTGAATTTTGTAATTACCTATTGAGAGAAAAAAGGAAATGAGGAAAAATTAATTGATGTCTGAATGGGATCAGATAAAGTATCTGATTTTAATTTTTACAAGGAGGATTACTGATTGCTGTTTTTTTTTATTGTGTTAAAGTCAGCTTTTCTTAGATATTCAAATTACCATAAATGTACCTGTGGTACACATCACAACTGTCCTCTTAGTTAATCTGATTTGTTCTGTGTGCTAGGGTTATGCTAAGGTTCGTTTATTGCTTTTTGTTTTACATGGATGATGAATTATAAATTATGGATGATGAAATCTAATTATGCCAGAGACACTTGTCTGTGTGTAAACATACATGTACACAGAAAAGACAGGACAGCCTGGGAATTCACATGCTGAGTTCTGTGTATAAGCTCTGCATTACATTTGGTGAAAATGTTAATTAATTTTTTTAATTGCAGTTGTTATTTCTGTGCCTGCCAGCACTGTCAGTTGTTAGGGTTTTGGTGATCATAAACATAGGGGAAAAAATAGATTTGAGTCATGTTGGTTTTCAAATTACTGAGTTAATTATGTAGTGGCTGGCTATTACAGCTGAACACCATATAAATGTTCAGTAGTTAGATCTAATGACCATGTGTGCACTGAATACAATATTTCTGTATTTTATGAGCAGTAATTTCTTTATAGGAATTGGAAAGTAAACTGCTATTAAGTTGAACTAGTATCAGATAGGACTCTGTTCTATCATGAACAGAACCAAAGGCAACCTGTGACTTCTACCAAAACTTATTTCAGTGTCAAGTTAAGGATTACTTCTCATACTGTATTTTGAAGTTCAAATTTGTTTCAACGTGAAGTAAGATGTTACTGCTGCACATAAACTAGTCTGTTTTTGCAGAGGCCCAAGAGGCAGGAATGCAACACTGTTAGTAAAGCAAAGGCCTATACACCATTATCTGTTTTATGCCAAGTGTTTTCATCTTCACAGATGTCATTTCAGTTAATTCTAGGGACAATGGTTCTACCATCCAGGGGTGGATAGGAAACCAAAAGGAGTCATAAGTCATGAGAAGAGCAGAGATAAATGACCCCTCTTTAGGTGCAATCACAAAATGCAGTGGAACTAGATAGGTTTTAATTATTCAGGTTTCTGGTATAAATGTTTTTATTCCTTTTAAATCAAGTTACATTAAACATAAGTCTGTTTAATAGTCATGACTTGGTTAATGTAAAAGTAAGCCCAAAAATTATTAATACTTAAATACCTGCTTTATTTTTACAGTAGTTTCTTCTTTTGTATCTGCTCACAGAAATGGATATAAGTTTTTGTACTGCTCAGCACGTGCTATTGGAATGGCAGGCATGACCAGAGGATACTTGCACTGGGTCAATGAACGAGGAACTGTGCTGCCTCAGGGGCCAGTGTTGCTGAGTCCAAGCAGCCTGTTCTCAGCTCTTCACAGGTAATGCAATTTTGCTTTTATGCAGAAAGAAACTGCAAGGTTGGTGGAGGCTGAATTCTCAGCTTTTTAAAATGGGAGTGCTTGAAATAATTTATAGTGGGTTTTTTCTTACATATTGGTGCAAAATTTCACTAAGAAGAAATTTTGTTAGAGAAAGACCAAAATTCAATAGATAGTTAATAGATGGTTTGCTTAGTTTATGTCTTAGATGTATATTGAGGCATGTCTATGTTCTCTGTTTACCAATAGCTACTGCTTGGTGACTTCATGTGTTTAATATTCATTCATTCATGGCTAGGCTTCGTGAATGAAGATTTGGGAGGGGCTCTACCCACATTTGCTACAAGCGCGCTGGTGGCTAAAAAGGCCAATATGAGATAGACAAGTCCAGTTGCAAAAGGCACAGCAGAAGGACTCCTTGGGTGGTATCGGCAAGACACGATTCTTTCTGCGTTGTCTTTTCTCCTCAAGAGTGATCCTGCGTGCTTTCTCAAAGGAAGCAGCAGCGTTATAGATGGTGTGTCTCCAGGCCTCCCGATTAGAGGCCAGAGTAGACCAGTGATGAAGATAAATATGGCCAAGGCTGAGATGTTGTTTCAGGGAGTCCTTGTATCTTCTCTTCGGGGCTCCTCTCTTGCAGCAGCCAGTGGCAAGTTCACCATAAAGCAAGATCTTAGGGAGGCGGTGGTCCTTCATCCTTGAGACGTGTCCTGCCCAACACAGCTATGTTCTCAGCAACATGGCCTCAATACTCGTAGACGTGGCAGTTCATGGGCAATTAGGGCAGAATGACGCTCAGGACGTCCACTATCTGCAGTATCAAGCATGGTTCTGATGTTCCAGCATGCGAGTATCAATTTGGCTACACCTTTGAAGGCAGGTGTGTGCCTTTGTCTCTTAATCTTTGTTTGACCACAATTAGAAGATGCCCATTGGCCATGGTTAACCAACTGGGTGAAGGGTGGAGATGAGCTTTGGTTAGGCCACCTTTTCTGGGCCCCTCTCCGTGTGGAGCAAGCAGTGCTCTCCTTGAAAAAGGCTGCTTGGTCATTCAGGATGCTGCCGAAAGAGACTGTCATCTCCGGGGTCAGTCTCAGGTGATCAATGTCCTGAACCGCCTGCAGGCAGGGTTGGGTCTGTGGCTTCCAGTGCACCTTTCACCTACCGTTTCGACCCTTGCCTGTTGCTACAGGGCTTTACAGATGTGGGTATAGCCTTCAAGCCTGCGCAGTGGATTTTTTAGGTGAGATGCAGTATGCGCAGAAATGGACTCACCCTTTAATCCTAAGGTTCATCTGCTGGGGCCGAGCGAGCTTGGACGGTGGCAGCGAGGTCCTCAGGACGTAGGTTTGATTAGAGTGTCCTTCTCTTAGATGGATGGCCTTCCAGGGCTAAGCGAGCTCCATCTGCCCGGGGTTGGAATTAGAGTTGTCCTTCTCCTAGGATGACTGCCAGGAGGCTAGTGAGCTCATCCTGCCCATGAAGACATTTTAACTGACCTTTCAGTTTTGACCTTTCTGGCATGGGAGACCCTGCCGAAGGCATGTACCATCGTCAGCATAGCTCGCAACCTCATAGGGGGTGTTTAATATGGTGTGTATTTAGCTATAGGAGAAATGTGGACATTTTAATAGCAATCCTTCTTGTCTTGATCTGTAAGGTGTTCCAATTGACATAAATATATTTTTGTGTGAGATTATTTCTTAGTGGGTTTTGAAGAAATTAATGTGAAAATGAAATGAACTTTTTACGTGCCTGACTGCACTGTGGGATTCTGTGTGGACAGTGTTATCTTTTCTAGGTGTTGAATTGCAATAAGTGAATAAGAATAGCACAGATTATGAATATCATACCTTCTTCCTAATTCAGTGAAGCATGTCAAGTGATTACTGAAAATATTTTAAGCTAAGTTAAAAGCTGCTGTGACAGGATATATTTCATTAGAATTTTTAATGGAAGGTTGTTCAGATGTTCTCCTGATTGAGTGACATGCTACAGGCAATCTTACCAGTCATGTTCTAAATATACTAAACTGTGGAGGTATTACTGTGCACTTCTCAGACTGATTAAACAATAAATGCAGTGAAGTGGTAGTTACTGTTATCTTATGCTCCTCATATCTAGAAATACATTTAAAGTGATACTATTTTTGGTATCTTGTTTAGACTAAAGAATGCCCATCTTTCGGTGTACACTGTTGTAACTGCTTTGGTGTGTGGGCAATAAATTACTGCATTGTTATCCATAGATTTAATTATTCTAGGTTTGAGATCAGGTGTATGCAAGGAAAGATAGTTTTATTTGTCTATTGCACATTCTCAAACTTTGATTTATACACGGATCTCCTGTTCCAAAGGGCTGTTTTACTCCTGTGAACTTTCTATACTATTCACATCTTCCTTGACATATGTGTTGGTGCTAGGATCTGGGATTCTGAGCTTCTTAAGCGATTTTGTGTCATGCTGGCATCTTCCTATGTTATGGGAACTCCAGACTCTGCCACCTGCTCAGTCTTCTTGCCAAGAGAAGCTGTTGTGAAAGGGCTTTTGCCCAGGGATGAGATAACTACTCTGTTCATTAATGAATTTTATATTCTGTAAGGAGCAACTGAAGAGAAATAGAAGATTCCTTTATTCCTTAACTTTTGTTAATTAGCCCTGATGGAGGACCCTGACTGTAGAAGTATCTTAACAGGCTGAGTTGCTTCTAGCACATATGGTGATCGCAGTCCTTTTAAAAATGAAATTTAAAAAAAGGCACTATACACAGTGAGAGATAATGTAATCTCTGAATCATTCTGCAGTTCACAGGAGGCAGTTTATTTGATGACAGTTTATGCCTCAGAGGGCTTGATTTAGCTACTCCTTGTAATCCACCAACCTTGTTCAGTAGCCATCTTTGCAATGTAGATTTCAGTAGAAGTTCCCTTGGATTTATTTACTGCGCCCATTATGTAAGCTTTGGAATGCTTGGGTTTTGTCTTCATGAGCACTCTGACTTCCAAAAGAAGTAAGAGAAGAGTGGGTGCTCTGTATCAGTATCCAGCTAGGCAAAAATGTTGAATAAAGAAAATAAAATGTTTTGTTCTGTATTTCATGTGTACTTATTCAGCTTCCCTTTTTTATAATTTCAGGGAGGTCATAGAAAAGAAGCCAGAAAAATTTAAAGTTCAGTGTTTGACAGACATCAAAAATTTGTTTTATCCTAACACAGAACCCTTTTATGCTGCTTTTGGAAACAGACCTGCTGTAAGTAATAGCTGAATTTATTTCTATTGCAGAGAACAGAAAGGTTGCTGTTATTTCATGGTTCTGTTGCATTAGAGCCTAGAAGCTGTAAATGAGAGTTAAGAATATTTTATTAGTCCCTGTACTAAGAAAAATATAAATGTTCTTCTTCAAAAATACCTCAATGTAGGATGCAGAGATGGAAGAACAGCAAAGTAACTATGTTAGATCTGCATAAATTGGCAATTAATCTTGTGGTGAAACACTGATCTCTTTTTAATCCACACAAATACAGTGTGAGTGAGATACCTGTGGACAGATAGAAAATATTTCAGATTAATATTGGTGGGACTTACACTTCAGACTCTAAGTACACTCAAAAGACCTTAGATGTCTCATTGAAGTCAAAAGTTTCTACTTTGTATGGAAAGTGATAAGTTTGACATGGAGAGGGCAAGACCGATCTCTGTCACCTATTTGGAGACTGTATCTTTGGGCCATAGATGGCTCTCACTCCTGCCCTAGGCCAAAGAATAATTTTATGCATCTAGAAAAGGAAACAGTCTCAGGAGCTAGGGCAGAGGTGGGGACCATGGCATGTCTTTATCCCTTCTTTAAAAGCATTATGTCAGAGGTGACAGGAGGTCCTCACTGTCCAATTGCTCTATTAAATTGTTATATCAAACACAGCTTAACTTCTGTTATCAAGATACCTTTAAACATATGATTCTGAAATAAGTTTTTAAAAACTCTTATGATTTTGTATTATGGATAAATCTATTTCCAGTTCCATTTTTTTGAATCTCAGGGAAATAAAATAGAATCATTATTTTCATTCATATTTGAATAAAATTTCAAGTAAAACACTAAGTTAATGTTTCTGAAGTAATTGCTGATAACTCACTTCTCTGATTGCTGCCAGTGTACAGGCTTCAGGTATGTGATGTGCCACTGGCTTTGTGAAAATCAGGATCATAGCTTTCTCAATTTTCTACTTTTGCTTTTTGTTTTGTTTTGTTTTTCCAAGAACAAACTCTGGGAAATTTTTGTACTCACGGGACTTACAGGTGTAGACAGTGCATGGACTGTCAGATTGCTGAATTCTTGAAGGAACTGCTGTTCACTTCTGTTCAGTTAATTTTTTTGGAACAGTCTTTACAATGTAGATATAAAAATAATCTCTGTATCTTCATTAACATTCCAGTTTTTTCACCACATTGGCTTTTAAAACCATGATTTATATTAGCAAAATGGAAGACTATTTTTACTCTGATCTTCTGGGAGATATTTTCATCTTTGGTTTTGTCAAGCTTTTCTTCAGAACAGATCGAAACCTATTTATTCCTTAGCAATCTGAACTTCTTAGAAGACATTCTTAATTCTTACTTCTAATTGTACTTCCCATAGCTGCATGTCCATTACCTGCTGTGGTTCACTGCTGCTATTTTGGCATATATTTCTTACTTTCCCTTCTTTTCCTCTTGCTCTGACATGGAGCATGGCACAAATCTGAACTCAGGACCTAAGAGATGTTTCCAGGGGTTTTAATTTGCTATGACTTCCTTTCGTCACCTTGTCCTTAAAAAACAATTCCTCTTTTATGTGTCAGTTACGTTTTAACCTCTGTACACTAGATACACAGTACAATGCACTCAGGAAATTAAATACTCTCTGAGAGAAAAAAGGAGGTGCTTTTCACCAAATATCACTAGTTTTTTATTGAATGTTATTGTTATGTCAGAGGAAAGTTACTGAAAAAAATTACCATGATTTTGATTAATAGTTTAAACAGATCAATAGTTTAAACTGAAGTGACAAACTCTTTACCTAGCAGCAAATTGTGAGTTTGATGAACATTTAGTTAGATTTACCTCATTTTTAACATAATGGAGAATTTCAGGTACACAAGAATTAAGTAAATTTAGTACCAATACTGTGTGAATATGTTCTTCTGTGTAATATATACCAGCAAGAATAAACATTATAGTGCAAAGGTAGAATCATGATTTCTCTTTTTTTCTTTTCTTTTTAGGATGTTTATTCATACAAACAGGTGGGGGTTTCTTTAAACAGGATATTTACAGTTAACCCCAAAGGAGAACTTATACAGGAGCATGCAAAGACAAACATCTCATCGTAAGTGATCTCTTATTCCTAACATCTTATGGACTAAATTAATTTGCTGTGCTAATTTGAGACTCAAGTTGCCCGAAGATCCATTCAATTTTAGTAATAAAAGATTCCTTAGAATACTTCAAAGTATAAAAAATTTGGAATAAAACACAGACTTTTCACTTTCCTTCAGTTAAGCTGACAAAAGGATTTTTTTTCTGTATTTAATATAATATATCCCATCTACTTTAATCATGTAAAAAAAATTTAAGTGTATGATTTAGTCTGCATAAAAATGAGACTCACTAGTTTGCTGAAGCCATCTGTCTTTTCATGGCCTTTTCAAATTTCCTTTTCCTGGAGCTCCTATCTAGAAGAGCCAGAAAACAAAATCTGAAGAGAGGGCCAAGTGCTTCCAGCAAGATGCTTAGGCACTGGTAGCACCTACCACTGGCAATGGCGTTTAGTAATGTCAAGAGTGTCCTTAACTGAAGGGGAGCCATATGGGTATAAAATAGGAATAATCAGTTGAGCAGGGAGCTCTTTGAGTGAAGCTGGACAGAAATGGAGATGCAGAATGTGGTGCTTGAGTATTTGAGCAGATAGTCTGGGTGTAAGATGGCATCTGTTTCTTACTAGGTAAGTATAATTTGTTAGAATTAATGGATTAGAATGAATTTCTTATCTTATCTGTGAATCCTCTCTGGAAGCTGTTCACCAAAATTGAGTTTAGTTTTATTCCTTTGAGGACGGTGACTTGTCCACCTTATCTGTTGGTAGTAGTCATGCCTTACTGGTTGGGGACTTAAAAAGGTTCAAAATAAGATGATCTGAAATGGGTCGGCATTCTTTTTATTTGTTTGTTTTCCAGCTATGTCAGACTGTGTGAAGTGGTAGATCACATTTTCCCTTTGCTAAAAAGAAGCCATTCTTCAGACTTTCCTTGTTCTGACACCTACAGTCAGTTCACCTACTGGAGAGAACCTCTGCCGCCGTTTGAAACTCAGGATGTACATCCAACCTCATCTTAACTGCATCTCCCAACCGTTGGCCTCTGCTCAAAGAATGAGTTGGCTTGTATTGACAGGACAGCAGGTGGCTTTTGCTGTTGACAGTTCACCTGGAATCTGTGATGATGTGAGCATTGTATTCTTTTGCTGTGAGCACACTTAAAAATGCTTTTTCATACTTAGTCATGTCTCCAGACAAGAGGAGTCTCGCTGGGAATAGGAGTTGCATTTCTAGGTCTTCACCCGGCTCCTCAAATTGTGCCATGCACTTTCATTGTGTAAAGTCAAATAAAAGTGAACTGATGTTGGAGTTGCAGTTAAATGTGCCGTAAGGCTGTAAGGTGGTTCCATGTCTGTTCTGCATCACTGAAGCCATCTTTCGTCAGAACCACTTACCAGTAAGGGAGCTGAAGGTGCTCACCATTCCTGACATCGTCTGGTGACACGGACAGGGATTGCAATCAATACATCAAAATTTTTCTCTCTGAAGGAGCAAGTGATTCTTCCCATTTCCCCTTGCTTGAGCAACAACTGTTTGTTTAAGAGTTAATTACTGGTCTAGGTCCTCACTGATATACATCAGTGTAGCTATCAAAGCCAGTTGAACTGTGTTGATTTATTCCAGCCTGTTTTGACATGGGATATTTCTGAGGAAATAAATTATGTGTAGTCTAAATAGAAGGTAAATGAAATAGGATGGCCAGATTCTGCCAGTCTTTTTCAATTTGAGAAGTATCATACTTCAAGAGTAGCTATTTGGATCAAGGTAAGTGGGCAAGTGGAAGATAAAGGCTGTACTGTGCGTGGTGCCCACATTACTGAAGTGAGTGATTTTCAGTAAAGGCATTTTACCCACACAATGTGCTGAGGTTCAAGATTGTTACTGAGCCGAGAACACTGAGGATTTTGTCAAAATAGAATAGTTTTATTTGAAACATTACTTTGACTAAAATGTGAATTTTGATGCCGGTGAATGATGCATCTCAGGTTTTTACTGTATGGATTTTTTGCTTTGTTTTGTAGTGTAAAGAATGGATACTTTTAGTGCAATTTACTCTCCTTTAAGGTAAAGAACTCTCCTCTTTCATATGTTTTTTCCTTATTTATTCAGACACGAGCTGTAGTTACTTTTTTTTGCTATCTGCTTTTGACAGCCTTAAGACTTAAATATGCACGCTGAAAGCAATACTGCAGATCAGTTGATGATGTTTTCCAAATGGTCTGCCTTTACACAATGTGGTAGTTCAAATGTGGACTTCAAGTGCCCACATGCCAAATGATTCTCAAATGTGCTTGTAGTTAGGAAAGTAACTTTTTTTTTACTTTTAAAATATAGTGAAAAGTCTAATTGTTCTGAAACACTGAAAATGGCAGCATGGGATTCTATGTATATTGTATTTCAGTATGGCTAAACCCGTGGTTCACAAGCTGTGGTCTCTGCTAGCTTGTGATCTCTGAGGCTGTGGTACGTTTTGCAGCTGCTTTGTAGTTTTTTCAGTTAAGAGTTTAATAACAGGAAGGCAGAGTGGTCCAGGAGAAATTTTAAGATATGATTATGGTTGTTATCACTCAGAAGTTTGGGAATGGCTGCTCTGTATCACATTTCTTCCGTTACAACAGATTCTGGTTTTGCATGTCAAGAGTGATGGCAACGTAGATGGGATGGTAACTCTGTACGAGGGGCTTTCTAACTTTTGGTACTGCAGACTTTATTTGGGATGTCAGTGGGCCAATTTATGATTTTTCTCTGTGCCTTCAATAGTAATGAATATAAGTGCAATCCTTTACACAGCTGCAGTGTGCAGTGGTGAGCACTCCCTAGGTCTTCCTTTCACATGAACGCTTCTGCTTCAGGCAAGATGCATGTCCACTTTGGAGATACCAGGATTAGACACAATGAGGAACAAATGCAGATTGATTGTTCTCTCTTGGAAGTTTGAAGAAAATGCAAATATCTTTTTACTTAAAGATGGAAGAAATGTGGGGTGGATTTTCTGAAAGACAATCGGTGGGGGTTGCAGGTTGCCAAACTGAGATAGTTACATCTCTAAATATAGCCACACTTTCCTTTAAGTATCTAATAATATTTATAATTAATGATTGAATAAATGGATGAATGTCCTAGCTGCATCCTATTTAAATTCAGTTTTGGTAAAGGCCTATTTCAATCCGTTTATTATGTAAAATAAACCTAACCAACACTTCAATTAGAGGCTGTCAGTTTTGTCGTATTTATCCTTAGCAATAGTAAAGATCTATTTTCCTAAGATATTACACACAGCAATTCCCAACAGAAAATATGCTCCCTGAAAATTCTCCACAATTAAACGATGTGATATGTTTATTTATAAATTAATAAATAGGTAATCCAGGGTTGTTTGTTGCCATTTGTATTTGAAACCAAATGACAGTGTGAATGAGGGTCTGTTTTAATTCTGTCAGATTGTAGCTGTGGTGAAGTGCTGGTACAGGTAAACCTGAGATGCTGCAGAATCTGTCCCAGAGCTTTTCAAGGCTTGGTTAAACAGGGTTATGGCTGACTTGATCTAGTACTGGCAATCATCTGCTTCAAGGATGAAGTTGGACTGCATGACCTCCAGGGGTCCCTTCTGACCAACATTTCTGTGATTCTGTGACATTAAACGCCTTACCACTGACATGCTGTGTACCCCTGCGTATCCGAAAGTTGAAATATAGCTGAACAGTGTCAGGAATGTGTGTTTGTAAAATGTTTATCAAATTTGCTCACAGAAAAGACACTTATGAAAATCAAGGGTTTGACCTGCTAGAAACATCACCATACTTTTCCAGAAAGTATAAGACATTTTGATTTGGTAGCTGATTAATTTTAGCATAATATTTAAACTGCTTTGTTAATTCATATAGAAGAAAAAGGGATCGTTTAACGAATTCCTACTCTTTCTGTGAAAGAAAAAATACCAACCTTGTTTGCAGTGTAATGCTGGGTTTTGTTACAGAAAGAATATGCTAACATAAGTATGCAGACACATTAAATCACACTATATTCAATTCATGCAGTACGCAGAAACTAGTATATGCAGCAGTGAGGAGTGACTAATGTTTATTTTCTTCAAGCTGATGACCACACCACTCCAGCTGGGTCATGAGAGGAAAAGAATACCATACTTGTGGCATTAGTTATGTTGAAGATAAAATGTTACTGCTGTAATGTGGGGAGGGAGGAGAAAAAGGATATTGGGTATTTTTATTTATAGATATGGATTATTATTATTTCAAAGCCTATTTATATACAGTATTTACTCTGTATATGTATGTGCTACTGCAATGATGAAAATAATTTTAAAACTTCATTTTGATCTGAATGCAACAAGGGTAGAAATATATATTGTAATAAAGGCAAATATAAATTTTTTCCTGACTTTTCTATTTTTCTGTATCGTTTGATAATGGCAGAGTGCTTTTGAAGAACTACTGAAACCTGTAAAGTGTGGCTTTTGTAGCTCCGGTCTCTGTTGCCTGTTTCTTATTGGGGATATCCAGTGTAACTTGCACTATTTTTGCAGTTTGGCTACAGTGTTTTACCCAGAGCCTTTTCAAATGCGAAGAGTTTGCTGAGAGAGGTGGGGCCAGGGTCTGGTCTAGCTGTTTTGGGATATGGGAGCAACACTTTGAAGCCAAAAGCAACCAGACAGGAACTGGAGCAAATTGGAGCTGCAGGGAATCCAACCCACCCCAGAATTTTTTTGAATTATTGTTTTGTGTAATTCCTAGTGTGACCTAAGCAAAAACTAGCCATCTGTTTTGAATGGAGATGTTGTCACTCATGGCAGTGAGACCAGATAGTCTATTTTTTTGTGTCTTTTTTCTTTCTCCTCTTCTTTGACATTGGCCATTCTGCTGTGGAGAAACCAATACCCATTTTTTATCTCCTGTCCCTGAGAACACAGAGCTGCCTTTTTCTCCCACTGCCAGGTTTGCTGAGCAAACTGACTGCAGTGTAGTGATACTGCCAGGCTTGTGTGTGCTGGTATGAAAACAAAGATGTTTGGGGTTGATAAGGCTCTGCGGCATCTCAAGTTCTCTGTTAAAAATACAAGAGCAGCCGTATTTGGGCAACCTGCAGTCACTGCTTCTTCAGTCTTCTCTATTTTCTGTGTGTCTCTTGCTTGTATAAACATTTACCCTGGAGCTCTGGAGACAGACTTTGAAATGAAGGTGCCCTTTTAATTCGAAGTCAGAGAAACGGTGCTTTTGCATCAGCAAAACAAACTTTATAAGGACATACTCATTGCTCCTGGAATATCCCATTAACCCTAGAGATACAACAGTCAGAGGGAGGAAGCTCCTGAGGAGGGAAGAGTATGGAGTTGTTAGAGTTTTTTTGACGCCGTGAGTAATGTAGGGAATATTTCCAGAATACTACGTGTTTGTCCTTATAAATAAATAGTCTCAATTCAATATGCATTGCATATGCTATCAAGTACCTCAGGATAGTTCATTGCAAGAGGCAGGCAGAAGATGGTTTGTGCTGAAATAGTGCCTAAAATTGTTATTATAACTTTCAGCTCTTCCATGAATGCATAAAAAGTGAAGTCTGAAGGTTGTTCTTAGTATGTTTTTCTTTGTTTTGTTTTGTGGGTTTTTTTCTTTTCATAGAAGTCCAGCAAAGAATGGTGGTGAATGGAATATACTCACAGTGCCACAACCTTAGATAGTCCCCACTCTTTTGCTTGCAGTAAAATACAGCCCCTCATTCTCTTCTGTAGCATGTTGGAGATAGGCAATGAAAGGGTTGGTTGTAAATCAAAGGCAAGAGACTGGCTCTAAGGAGCACCCAGCAGTGGTGTTGAGGAATTACAGCTGCTGGATGCTTTGGGAAGAGATCTTCATCAAGACCTTTCCAACCATTGGGATGTGAGGGAGAAAAGTAAAGGTAAAATGAGAAATTAGTTTTCTTCTAGGAGGAACTTGAGAAAGGGAACAAAAACAGAACAAATGGCTAAAAAGCACCTTCTTGTTCCTACCCTTGTGCTGACCCTGGGTGGTACTGGGTCAGGTGCTGAGCTCTGCCTTTTGCCCCTTAAGCAGCACTGCCTGAAATCCCACGTGTCTGAGCTGCACAGAAAAGGTGAGAAGGCCATTTTGGCTTAATTTCCCAAACAGAAGGGAATAACATTGAACAAAAGGAAATCTATACTCAAGTGTCCAAGGGACACTGCTAAGAGCAAAACAAAGTTGCAGTTACAGCTAAATTTAAGCTTATGTAAGGACTAGGGCTTCTTTATTATTTCATGAACTTAGGAAACAAAGTTTTCACCTGCAGTATATACACCTCTGTGGTACCATGCGTGCATCCTTTTAATATGGCTTGCTTCAGTGAATAAATACAGACATCATCATTTTTCACCCTATTTAAGCAAGTGTTTAACTCATCCCTCCCTGAGCTGAAACTTAGGCATATTCTTAAGCACTTTGCTGGATTAAGCTAAGTAATTCCAAGAAAACTGTGTGCTGGGGAGATACAGTTTCTGAGCTGAAGAATTGATCTGGCTTTACTAATGGTTACCCTTGGACTGGTTTTTAGCCTCCAGCACTGTCAGGTGTTCTGCCTACTGCCAGCAATCTATTTATTGATACAGGAAATCCATTTTGCCTTGCCTTGCTTTTAATGAGTTTTGCAAGCAAGTGGCCCCTTCCTGTGACTCATTCTGTGTTTTCTGAGCGAGAGATTGTGGTTTTAAGTTTCATGTTGGAAAGTAACCGCTGTGTCTGCTTTCCTTGTCTGCTGGAATCTCAACAAGAGGAATACATTTTGGAACAAAGAGATGTAAATGGAGTAGAACAGTTCATGTTTCTTTGCAAAATTGTATAAACATCCTTCTTTTTGGGACAGTTAAAAGCACTAGTGCAAAGTGATAATAAGTCATGTTTTTAAAATAGCAGCTTTATCTTAGAACATTGCTGTTAACCTGGGCAAAAAAAGATATTTTTCCTGGTATCTCAATATGTGTTGGCCCTTTAATTTTTGGATATTTATTGGCTATAAATCAAACAGTGGAGGCCTTTCTCTGATTTTACTGACACAGGAGCAGCTCCATTAGCATCTGAATGGCTGCTCAGGTATGGACAGTTACAATTGCAATCTGAAGTGTGAATAGCAAGAGCTACAGATTTCCATTGAATTCATGATCTCTCTCATCCCTTTAGAATACTGGAGCAAAAGAGGTAGGAGATGTGGATGTATTTGTTTCTGAGTTTTGCCAAAAATATGGTGGCGGAAGGGCAGAATCCTCAGCAGGCTCGGACCGTTAGCACTGAAAACTTAGATTTATGTTAAAAACAGCCATAAATACATCAAAACCAATGACCAGGACAGTTTCCATTCCCCATTGCTAGATACAACTATTTATATTTTGGGCTCAGTGGCTATGTCTGTGCAGATAAATCACTGCCCAATAAAGGGCAGGGGTTGTTTTTAGGCACCCTCGCCAACGAGCTCGCTTGGCGAGTGTCCAGCTGCTTGCCTGCCACATAGGGGAATTGCTGGCCTCTGCTGACCCTCAGGCTGTGCCCAGTCCTTGCTTGGATGAACACTGGTTGCCCTGACTCAGGTCGTGCTGGGGACCTTGTTGTCAGCATACTGGATAGGCAACTGTGTGCCAGAGCTGGAGCTTGTGCCCTGACACTGCTTACGTGTCTGCGCTGTACCTGGGAAGAGCCAGATCTGGGTCTGAGCTGTAGATCCTTTCCTCATGCATGTCTCAGCTGGCTGGGTAATGAGATATTGGGACTCTCCTTCTGGAGGTTTTGGTATGAGCTGGGCTTTTCCTATGCCTTAAGAAGGTGCTTCAGTTCATCTGTAGTTCAGTTGAATCTCAAGAGGAGGCACTCTCTAGTCCTGAACTGCCTTCACCTCTGTCTGGTGCAAGCCTGTGCAATATTAACCTACTTTAGGGAAGCTGCAGTTCTGCAAAAGGCCAGAAAAATCTAAAAGCTCTGCTAGCACAGGCTTCTTAGAGTTGAAGTGTGGATGGGGATATACAGAAAAATCATACCTGAGAGCAAATAAGCACGTTGGAAAAGCAGAAATTCAACAGATCATGCTTCAAATGTGACCTTCCTGTTACCCTTCTCCACTGTCAAGTTCGAGTTGGCAGAGACAACAACTGGAAGGAAAAATTGTGAGGCTCAGAAACTGAAGCAGCTTTATTGGGAATGTACTGAGAAGAAACAAAGAAGAAGACCCAATATTATCATACTCCTTTCCTGTAGGGATCCAGATATATAAAAATACAGTGCTCTGTATTGTGGACTTTGTTTCTTACTGATGTATCATATGAATGACAACGACATGAGAAATGTCTTTATTTCTCAAAGTATGATGGAGTGGGGTGGGTTTTGGGGGGATTGTCTGTTTTGTGTCAGTAACAGATTGTATGGAATTACAGTGACTTAGGGAGCAATTCAGCTGTTCACACCTGCATTGCTTTCTAATGCAGTCTCTGCACAACCTGAGAGTCTGCACAGGTATTGCACCTCTCTGCAAAGCTCATTTCCTCTCGCTCTGGATTGCTCTTTTGCACATCATTGGTATGGAAACACTTCCATTTCTTTCGACCTAGTACATTCTTGTAAACCAAGGCTATGGATTCTTGGGTGGCTGATCTGATCTACCAGTTTTGTTACTGCCTAAAGGAAAAAGTCACTCTCTCTGTTTCCTCCTTTATTCCTCCTGATTTTCTACTCCACTGTACTTCTGGGATAGTTTTGTTCTGTATTAGTGAACTAAATGGGCTCAGAGGGAAGCAGGACCTTATGCTTCTGTCTATGTCCCATGAAACTGGAACTTCAATTTTACTGGGTCCATGCCAATTCTATACCTGACCTCTTTATTCTTATAGTAATCATCTTATAATTGTGGGCAGACCTTATAAAGTGACATGCCTGGTGTCTATCAGTGAACTTGAGAGCATGGACATAACCACATTCAGATGAGACCATGAATGGTAACACACCACATGTAAAGAAACTGCAGGATCAAAACCATCTGCTCAAAATAGAGGGACTGATAAGGAAGAAAAACCTGGTCCCAAGAAAGGAACTGGCTCCAGTCCGTGCCCTGACACAGAAATCTTGTGTTGATTGAAGTGAATCCTTCACTGTGCTTCGAGCAGAAGACAGGGATAATGGCAGTTCCTCTGTTCCAGGCATGACCTGCAAACAAGGCACTAATGCCTAGGAGATGCTGTGATGTGAAGCTGAAGGGTCATGCAAAAAAGGTATTTGAACAACCACCAGTGGTTCAGCTTCTGAACACCTGACAGTCAAATTTTATCCTTCTTGGCCCATGAGAGGGAAGAATACTGTCTCCATTTAGCATCAGGAGACAAAAGCATCTTGGTAGCCTCAGTA